AATATAAAATCTAAGACAAACCAGATATTGATATACAGTAAATATCTATTCAGTAGAACAGCTTTATCCCCATTTAACAGTAGAACAGTGATTAATCATAGTAAGAAATAGTTAACTATCTACAGTCATAAAGCTTAATGATTATACAAGTAAAGATAGAGGTTGTGAGGAATATGAGCATGAAAAAAGTAGAATTTGAAAAGTTAAGCAAGGAACATGGATGAAGGTGATAAAATTGAGATAAAGGATCTTATTTAGGAGCAAAAGGAAATTAGTAGTGTTAGTTAAAAGTAACAGAAAAACAACAACAAGGAAAAGGTTAAATAATAAATAGAAAACTAGAGGGAAAAAAGGAAAAAATAAGGGAACAAATTGAAAGAAAGCAAGAAGAAAGTAGGGAAAAAAGAACCTAATCAAATGAATAAACAAAATAATAATAAAGGAGAGAAAAAGAAAATGGAAGATAAAACTACAAACACCACCAAAAAACACAAAACAGCCCATTAGAAGAAAAAGAAAAAATTGGGTCAAAAGAAGAGAAAAAAAATTCCTATGTATTTCAGAGTGGATATTGTTCTTCCAGAACCTGTGGTCTTTGGAATCCAGAAAATCACATTCCTCTCTGCCCTCTTAAATCCTGTGGGTCTGTGTGGTGATCTCTCTGTTTGAGAGGCCCCTTGTAGTAAGCCCCAGTCTATGGCAACTGTCCCACCCAGACCCCCTGAAGCAGACCTCCCACCACAGAATGGAGGCCCAGTGTCCTTTCTTGCCCTGAGCTTGAACTTCTCAGGGGATATCTGGAAATCTGTGTCTAGCCCTCACCCTCTTAGTCTGTCTCCCATGGCTGACTATCACCCAGTCACTGTGGTAGGGTAATAACTTCAGTCCTGGAGTGAAGCTGTAGTATAGGTGTTCTGTGGCTCAGTCCCACATGATCAACCCCTTCCCAAAATGGCACCTGATTAAACTCACTCAAAATATGGTGGGTGCTGTACTGCTTATTTTCTCCAACTCTTATCCTACCATGAAGTAGTCACCATTAGAGTAAAGCCCCGTACTTGTTTTGTTTTACACCAACGTGTGTTTTTCTTTCTTTTTTCCTGTACCAGGGATTGAACTCAGGACCTTGTGCTTGCGAGGCTGGTGCGGTGCCAGTGAGCTAAATCCCCAGCCCTAACGTGTGTTTTTTGGGGGGCTAGCACTACTGGCCCATCTGTTACTTCTTCCTGAAGCAGCCTACTCTTCTAGGCTTACTTCTACTGGGCATTGATTCTCTTTTTTTTTTTTTTTCCACTAAGTTTATCGGTACATTTTAGGTGTACAATATGATGACATTCATCATTGGGAAGTTGTACCTTTACATGATGTATCTTGGTTCTTATTTTTTTCCCCATTCCCCTGCCCTCCCTTCAACCCTTCCACCCTTTCCTATTTACAAAGACTTTGTTTCCATTTTGTTCTTTTCTCATATTTTTTCCCTTCCCTTCTTTCCTTTCCCCTACTCCTCCCACTTCCTCCTCCCCTTTAGACCTTTTCTTCCTGTTTCACATTATCTGTTATACATTTTCTTTTTTTTTTTTTAAGAAGAATTTGGCTGGGATATTTCTATTTATTTAGGTCCTGGGGATTGAACTCATGACCTTTTGAAAGGCAGGTGGTGTCACCACTGACTAAATCCCTGGCCCTCATTTTGATTCTTATTTATACTTTCAGTTTCTCACACCAGAGAAACTATTCAGTATTTACATGTCTAATTTATTTCACTGAAGAGTATGGCCTCGATGTGCATCTGTTTAGCTGTAAATGACTAGTTTCTCATTCTTTATGGCTGAGTAGTTAGTTTCCAGTTGATGGGCATTTGGGCTGTTTCCAAGCTTTAGCTATTACAAACTGTGCCGCTATAAACATGGGTGCACATATATTACTGTGGCACGATTTTTTAAAAATTAAGTTTATTGGTGCATTTTAGGCATACAATACAGTTACATTCATCAATGAGATTTTGTATCCTCACCTGATGTATCTTGGTTCTTATTTTTTCCCCATTCCTCTGCCCTCCCTTCACCCCCTCCACCCTTCTGATTCTTTTAATTCTTTTGGGAAGATACCCAGCAGGGAAATAGCTAAGTCAAATGAGACCTCTAATCCTGGTTCTTTGAGGCATCTCCATGTTGCTTGCCACAGTCGTTGCGCCAGTCTGCACTCCCACCAACCATGGAGCAGGGTTCCTTTCTCCCCACAGCCCCACCAGCATTTGTTATTAGTTGATGTCTTAACAGCAGCCATTCTTTTTGGAGTGAGGTGGAATCTCAGGGTTGTTTTCATCTGCCTCTCTTGGATGACCAGTGATGTTGAACATTTTTTTGTATGTTTATTTGGTGCTTTTCTTTGTCTGAGAAATGTCTGCTCATTTCAGGTGCCCATTTTTGAATTAGGTCTTTAAATTTGGGGTGGGGCTGATTTTTTAAGTTCTTTATATATTCTAGATAGTACTCCTTTGTCTGAGGAACAGCTAGTAAAAATTTTTTTCCTGCATTGTAGATTGTCTTTTAGCTCTGTTGGTGGTTTCTCTTGCAGTGCAGAAGCTTTTTAATAGGATGAGATTTCAGTTGTTGATTCTCTGTGCTAGTTCCCATGCTACTGAGGTTTTGTTCATAAAGTCTTTTCCTATGCCAATGTCTTCAACCTATCTTCCAGAAAGTTTAGTGTTTCTGTTTTAATATTTAGATCTTTGATCCACTTCAGTTTTAGTTTAGTGCATGGTGATAGGTATGGGTCTTGTTTTAATCTGTGGCAGGTTGAAATCCAGTTTTTCCAGCACCATTTATTAAAGAGGCTATCTTTCCTCTAGTGAGGGTGTTTGGCTCCTTTGTCACAGATGAGGTGGCTGAGTGTGTCTGGAGTTGTTTCTGCATCTTCTGATCTATTCCACTGATCCTCGGGTCTGTTTCTTTGCCAGTACCATGCTGTTTTTATCACATTGGCTTTGTAGTATATAGTTTCATGTTGGGGATTGTGATACCCCCTGTCAGATCTTTGTTGCTTGGAATTACTTTTGCCATTCTAGTTCTCTTCTGGTTCCAAATGAATTTTTGGATTGTTTTCTCTAGTTCCGTGAAATATACTGTTAGGATTTCAATTGGGATTGCATTGAATCTATATAGAAGCTTTGGAAGTATGGCCATTTTTACTATAGTGGTTGTTCCCACCCAGGAGCAAGGGACATCCTTCCATTTTCTGATGTCCTCTTCAATCACTTTTTTCAGAGTACTCTAGTTTTCAGTGCAGAGGTCTTTTTCTTCCTTTGTTAGATTGATTCCTAGATATTTATTGTTTTGGATCTATTGTGAAAGGAATTGCTTCCCCAGTTTTCCAGGTTCCTGTCGCATGGAGGACTGTTTTCCATCCTTTTACTTTCAGTCCATGAATTTTTTTTGAATTAAGTATATTTTTTGTATACAGCATATTGTTGGATTTTGCTTCTTAATCCATTTATTTCTTTTGGTGGTTATAATTGATATGTATTGACATCCTTGTCATGATATTTTCCTGTTGTTGGCTCTTCTATTTTTTTTTCACTTTTTAAAAAAAATATATATATTTATTGGTACATTTTAGGTATAAAAGACATTTACATTTATCATTGAGTGTACCAGAACATGATGGCTCTTCTATTTTTTATTTTTCCCCCTTTCCTTTTAGTTTCTTGCCATGACTGATAGCTTCATTCTGTTGGACCTCATAGAGTTGTGAACCTCATTTTCTTTTTCTAGGATATTGTTTAGAATTGTTTGGAGTGTTGGTTTGGTATTCTTTGTCATGGAAGTATCTAATTTCCCCATCAATTTTGAAAGTAATTTTATAGGATACAACAGTCTAGGTTGGAGGTTATTTTCTTTCAGGGCTTGAAATACTTCACTGCAGGCTCTTCTTGACTTGAGCCTCTTTCAGGTTATGTCTCTGCTGTCTCGGTAGACAACATGGGCAGCAGTTTGCAGATCTAAGTCAATTAGTCTTAGCAAGCCAGCTGTAGTCCACTGAGATTCAGGCTGATTTCTAGCTATAAGGCCCAAGTTGAGGTCCCTGACCTCTTGCAGGATTGAACTCTGCAAGGTTTTACTGCAAGTTTCAGCTGCCCTTCCCCCAGAGCGAGTCCAAATTCCTATGGGAGGTGCTGATCCCACCAACTTACCAACCATGGTGGTCCAGTGTGCCTTTATTGTAGAGATTTTCTTCACTTTCCTAGTGGGCTTCAGTTTTCATCGAGGAGCCTCAGAGAGGCCTCTCTCTGTTGTTCACTTCTGGTCTATCTTCTGGAGCTCATAACCATGGCCTTTACCCACCCACCCCCCACCCCCCATCCCCCATGGATTCAGATACCGTGTGGCCAGTGCGGCGTGGTCTGGTGGCAAGCTCTAGGGGCCCAGGGGCAGCAGGGCGGTCCATCTCTTCTTTGATGAGGTCTGTTTGGTAGTCATGTCTGTGGCTCTGTGCTTATCAGAACTGTTTGTAACAATGAAGTAGTTCCAATGTCCCAAGAGAAATTAGGTGGAATCTGATGAGAATCTTCTATTCTGGACTTTGGCCTCGTCCAAAATCAGGTCCGTGGGTTGGTTGCAGTTCTGCAGCTCCATGCAGAGGGGAAACAAAACACAGAGCTGGCTCAGAGTTGGCAGTAGCCATTGCCAGGGCACAGAATCCATGGGTGTGGAGTTGGTCATGGGCCTGACCTTGGATTCAGCGGGGCTGTGGGGCCACGTGTTCATGGAGCATATTGAAGCTTTAAAATGCGTAATTGTTCTGTTCCCAGGCAGCAGTAAAAGAAAAAGTTACCACAGGAGTCAAGTAAATCCTTCTTAAGTTTATTCTTTTTTCTGATACTGTTTCTTGCTTCTCAGATTGTTCTTTCTGAACTTGATCCTCCTGGGGAAGGTTTGTTCCTCAGGAGACAGTGTGTGGCTGTCACAAGCTTTGCTTACCTGCATGGTGTCTCCCCTTAGGCTGCAATCCAGTCACAGCTGGACGGGGTGCGTACGGGCCTAAGCCAGCTCCACAATGCTCTCAATGATGTCAAAGACATCCAGCAGTCACTGGCTGATGTCAGCAAGGATTGGAGGCAAAGCATCAATACCATTGAGAGCCTCAAAGATGTGAAGGATGCCGTCGTTCAGCACAGCCAGCTGGCCGCAGCTGTGGAGAACCTCAAGAACATCTTCTCAGGTGAGCGCAGACTGCAGGCTGGGGGCTGCCAGAACACTGAATGGCACCTTCCCATGGTTCACACTTGTTTTTCCTCCAGACATGGGGAGCGGTGTAGGTATTATAGAGGAAAATCCAGCACTTTTGTGCAGTGCATGTCTTAGGCTGTCCTGGAGTGGAGGATAAGCTTGCTTCCTGCCTACTTAGCTGCTTCTCTGCATGTGAGTGGACAAGATGTTAGGGAGGTGCAGGCCAGTGGGACCATGTAGTTCTGTATCAGGACAGAGCCCAGAAGTGGACAGCCAAGCCAGTGCTGGTGGAAAGAGGTGGCTGTGGATGAGTGGAACAGCAGAGAGGCAGTCACACACACATCCCCTGGAGAGCCTGCGGCCTGGGGGAGTGGACAGAGGTGGGGGTGAGAGACCAACCTGAGGCACAGGGTTTGGAGAGCACCGGCCTCAAGCTGGGGAAAGTGGGTGTGGGGAACACAGCGCAGGTGGGGCAGGGTGGTCTCAGTCTCTGTGGACTGGAGTGAACCCAGCGGGGAAAGGAGGTGGAGGACTGGCACTTCCAGAGTCCATCTGTCTAACCCCAGCTAGTGGGATGCGGGTGCTCCAGAGCCCATCATCAGGCAGTGTCGGCTGTCCCTGCTTGGTGGCCTCACAGCACAAGTCAGGAAGTGTTCCCTCCTCTGGAGTCTGGGACAGTTTGAGAAGGATTGATGTTAGCTCTCTGAATGTTCAGTGAATTTACCAATGGGTCCAACAGATACAGTCTGGCTTTTCTTTTCTTGTTTTTTGGTACCAGGGATCAAACTCAGGACCTTGTGCTTGCCAGGCAGGCACTATGGCACTGAGCTAAATCCCCGACCCTATCTGGCTTTTTTTTTGTAGGGAGATTGTTGATTACTGATTCAGTTTCCTTACTAACTGTGGATCTATTCAAGTTTTCTGTTTATTTGTGGTTCAGTCTTGGTAGGCTTTGTGTTTCTGGAAACTTGTCTATTGCGCCTGCGTTTTCCAGTCTGTTGGTGTAACAAGTTTTCAGTGTAGTGTCTTACAGTTTTTTAGTTTCTGAAGATAGTTATATTCCCATTTTCAACTTTGATTTTATTAATTTGACTTTCCCTATTTTTTCCCTTGGTCCGTCTAAAGTAAGGTTTGCCAATTTCATTGATCTTTTCAAAGAACCCACTTTTCTCCATTGATTTTGATTTTCTTAATTGCCTTTGTGTTCTCTGTTTTGTTTATCTTACCCTAATCTTTATTATTTCCTTCCTTCTGGCATAAAACGGCACTCCTTTAAAAACTCCTTAAGTTGTAAAATTAGATTGTTGGTTTGAAATCTTTTTTTTTTCCGGTACTGGGAATCAAACTCTGGATCTTGTGTTGCTAGGCAGGCGGCAACACCACTGAGCTAAATCACCGTCCCCTTGAGATCTTTTTTTTTTGGTACTGGGGATCAAACTCAGGACCTGGACTTGAGATCTTTTTTTAATGAAAGCATTTCTAGATAAACATTTCATATTTTAACACTGCTTTTTACTGCATCCCTTAAGTTTTGGTATGTTACATTTTCATTTTCATTGTTTGTTTGTTTTATTGTTTTGGTTTTGGTTTTTTTTGAGACAGGGTCTTGCCATGTAGCCCAGGCTGGCCTTGCTGAGATCCTCCTGCCTTATGCTCCCTCCTCCCTCCCTCCTCCCTCCGAATGCTGGGATTGCAGATGTGCACTGCTACACCCACGTTCATTTTCATTCTTACTCATCTTTAAATTTTCCTCAGGATTTGTTTGCCCTATTGAGAGTGTTGTTTAATTTCCACAAATTTGTGGATTTTTCAGGTTTCCTTCTATTACTGTTTTTTAATTTCAAGTTTTATTTGGAGAAGATACTTTGTATATTTGTCTTTTTAAAAACTCTGAGACTTAATTTGTGATGTAAATGTAATCTGTCCTGAAGAATGCCTGATTGTGAAAGGTGTGTTGCTGTCTTGGTGCTGCTCCTGTATGTCATGTTTAGGTTTAGGTGGGATTGTTTGTTGAGTTGCTAAGTCCTCTGTTTTCCTGCTTACCTTCTGCTTACCTGTCCCATCCATTATTTATTTGGGGTTTTTTTGTATGTTTGTTTTGAGACAGCGTCTTACTGTGTAGTTGAGGCTGGCCTTGAACTCGCTATGTAATCCAGGCTGGCCTCGAGCTTACAGTGATCCTCCCGAATGCTGGGAATGCTGGGATCGCAGGCATGGGCCACCATGCCTGGCCTGTCCCATCTGTTATTGAGAGGTGGCATTGAAGTCCCCAGATATTATCATAGAACTCCTTCTGCCTTAACTTCTGTCAGATTTTATTTATATATATATATATATATTTCCCCCCATTATTCCAAGCTTTCAGTTATTTGGGAATGTCTTAATTTCTCTCTCACTGATTTTTGTCTCCTGCTCCCCAGTGGGGAGCATATTAGGCGGACTGGTTTCCACTGAGCTCTACTCTCAGCCCTCCCTTCTTTCTAGGTGGAAGTTTTGCAGGTATAAGATTCTTAGTGACTTTTTCACTTTTTTACATTAGCCCTCTGCTTTCTGGCTTTCAAATTTCCTGATGAGAAGTGTAGAGATATTACTGTACATAGGAGCCCTTGTATATGATGAGTTGCTTCTCTCTTACTGCTTTCAGAATTTCCTCTTTGTCTTGCAGAAGTTTGATTTTATGGTGTCTTTTTTTTTTTTTGGTACCGGGGATCGAACTCAGGACCTTGCGCTTGCGAGGTGGGCAGCAGAACCATTGAGCTAAATCCCTGGTCCCTATAGTGTCTTGATGTGGGTCTGTCTCTTTGCTTGCCCCATTTGGGAGGTCATTTAGCTTCCTGGATATTTAATATATTTATGTCTTTCATCAGACCTGGAAGTTTCCAGCCATTATTCTTTCAAATATTCTCTCTTCTCCTCTGGAGCTCTCACACAGTCTGTTGGTCTGCTTCGTGGGTCCACAAGGACTCGTGGGCTCTGTTCACTTTTCTTCATTTTTCTTTCTATTCCTGATGCATGATAATTTCTGTTGTTTTCCCCTCATGGTCTCTGTTTCTTTCTCCAGCCTCCTCAAATCTGCTCTGAACCCTACTTTTCATTTCAGATGTTGTATTGTCATTTCCAGAGTTTCTTTTTGGTTTCTTTTTAGGTTCCCTATCTCTTTATGGCTGTCCCCATTTTTGTTTATGCATTGTATTGTTTACTTTCTCCATAACTCACTTTAGTCCTTGAGGATCTTTAAAAAGTAGTTTTAAAGTCTGGTAGACTTCTAACAGGTCTTTTTCAGAGATGTTTTCTTTGATTTTTTTTTTTTTTACCTTTGAACTGGAGCATTTTCTTCTTTTTAGTATGTCTTGTGATTTTTTTACTTGGAAATTGGGCATTTCAGTCTAGTAATGTGCTGACCCTGGAGTCAGATCTCCCATCCTGTCTTTGGAGGACAGGGTTCTTTTTAACACACGCTGGCTCCTGAGAGCTGGCACAAGCTGCTGTAGGAGCATCACAAAACTGCTTGCCACAGGGTGGTGGTGGAGGTGGGCAGTGGGTACTGTACAGAGGGCTAGTATTGACCAGAATTAGCCCTATTTATGATCCAAGCCTTTCTCTGAGAGTTGCCAGCCTTTAATAGACTCTAGAGTTCAACACAGTCACACCAGATGGATTCCACCAGTGCAGATGGTCAGGGAGACAGAGGCTTGGTGTCTCCCAGAATTCACACACAGCCTTTGATGTGGGTTTTTTTTTTTTTTTTTTTTTTTTTTGGTACTAGGGATTGAACTCCGGTCTCTGTGCTTGCACAGCAGGCGGCAAAACCACTGAGCTAAATTCCCGGCTCTGATGTGTTTTTTAATGGTACCGATTTGTCCCTTTTCTGCAGTGCCTGAGATTGTGAGGGAGACCCAGGACCTGATCGAGCAAGGGGCTCTCCTGCAAGCACACCGGAAGCTGATGGACTTGGAGTGCTCTCGGGATGGACTGATGTGTGAGCAGTACCGCATGGACAGTGGGAACACTCGAGACATGACCCTTATCCACGGCTACTTCGGCAGCACACAGGGGCTCTCTGATGAGCTGGCCAAGCAGCTGTGGATGGTGCTGCAGAGGTCACTGGTCACTGTCCGCCGAGATCCCACCTTGCTGGTCTCTGTGGTCAGGATCATTGAAAGGGAGGAAAAAATTGACAGGCGTATACTTGACCGAAAAAAACAAACTGGCTTTGTTCCTCCTGGGAGGCCCAAAAATTGGAAAGAGAAAATGTTTTCCATCTTGGACAGAACCGTGACAACTAGAATCGAGGGCACACAGGCAGATACCAGGGAGTCTGACAAGATGTGGCTTGTGCGCCACCTGGAAATCATAAGGAAGTATGTCCTGGATGACCTCATCATTGCCAAAAACCTGATGGTTCAGTGCTTCCCTCCACATTACGAGATCTTTAAAAACCTCCTGAGCATGTACCACCAGGCCCTGAGCACAAGAATGCAGGACCTAGCATCAGAGGACCTGGAGGCCAACGAGATCGTGAGCTTACTGACATGGGTCTTGAACACGTACACGAGGTAGATCCTGAATGCTTCTTTATGTGGAAACCACTGCACAAACGTACTGATAGGCAGTTTGCACACAGCCTCCTGAGTCTAGCTGTGGGCCTTGCTTTCTGGTTTGTGGAGATAGTTCTCGTCCACTGGTTGGGGACTTACCTGGAGGTCAGGCCCAGGCTTTGGTTTGGACATGGCCTTGTTTGGATGATGGTGTGGTGGTGTCTCTGCTCTCCGCCTCGAGCCCTGTGAGTGTGCACTTTGTGTCAGGCTGTTTCTGTTTGTGGACTTGGTTCTTCAGCATGATCCCCTGTGGCAGGTGTGTGTTCCCTGTTCTGCAGGTGGGCGCATGTGGTTCCAGGAGGTACTGTGACCTTCACCTCATCCCCGGGCTGATGAGGAGACCGCCAGCTTTGACTCTCCTTACCAGTTCCCCATGGCAGTTAGCCTTTCCAAAGTCAGGAGCTCCAAGCCAGGTGCAGGGAAGCAGTACCTGTAGTCCCAGCACTCAGGAGGCTGAGGCAAGAGGAATGCTTGGACCGAGCAGCTAAGAGATGATCCTGGGCAACAGAGTGGGACCTGAGAGCCAGCTCATGCGTAAACAAGACAATTACAAGTAAATACAATTCCAGAAGAATCAGTAGTCCTTTTGCATTTTAGCATCAGATTTTGTTCCTTCATATGAGGGAACATGAGCCACTTCGTATCATAGTATTTGAAAATTGAGCCAGTGATAGGGTCTGCTGAAATTCTGTAACATTAGGTAGTTGGAATATAACCTAACTTTGCATTGTTCTGTGAATAGGAAACAGTATTAAGTAATACCATCTAATTTTTTGGGGGTGAATTGGGGATCGAACTTAGGACTTGCACTTGCCAGGCAGGTGCAGCACCACTGAGCTACATCCCTGGCCCTACAATCTAATTTTTTTGTGATGTTTTTCACATCTTGCTGCTGCTGTGATGAGACAAAGTAACCTTTTCTTAGCAGTGAGGTTTATTATTTTTTGTGGTTTTGTAATTTATTTGTAACTGCTTATAGTAGAATTTATACATTTTAATACAGAAAGATAGAAAGAAAATTTGAAACAAAATCAGGAAGAGTGGTCCTTGTTTCTTAGCTTAACCTTAGTGTGTGCTCTGGAATGCAGTGTACAGTGTGTTGTGTGTGTTAACAGCCACCAGAGGTGGGAGATAACCATGATCACCTATCTCCGTGGGTACATGAGCAAGTAGGGAGCAGGATTCAAGGCCAGGCCCTGGGTCCTGGTGCCAGTTCTGAACCCTGGAGAGTGAGGAGTGCATATGTGAGGCTTGTGCAGTTCTGTGTCTTGGGGTTATAACTTCTCTGCCACACTGTGAGGGTTTCTTGTCATTGGGAGGTCTGTTTGTACTGACCACACAGTCCCTCAGTCCGGGCTCTCTCCCATGTGTGTTCCTAATCCAGGCTCTATTCCACATGTGTTCCCTCAAGCCTTGCTCTCTGCCACGTGTGTCCCTCAAGCTGGGCTGTCTCCAGAGAATCTGTACTGCTCCCTGGAATTCCTTACACACTGAATGGAGCTTCTTGGCACAGAAATGCTGAGGTTCAATGAGTTGTTCTTGAATACTTGTAGAATATCTTGGATTTCTGTGTGTGTGGGGGGGGGTATATATGTGAATTTGGACTCGACTCCAGAGCCTTCTCATTGAACTAAAGCTCCAGTCTTTTTTATTTTTTATTTTGAGGCAAGATCACGCTAAGTGTTTAAGTTGCCCAGTGTGGCTCAAACTTGCCATCCTCCTGCTTCAGCTTCCCAGAGTGTTTGAATTATAGGCATGTACTACCAAGCCTGGCCTTGGATATTAAAGGTTGACTAGCTAGTAATAATATTGTTCAGTGTTATTCTAAATTCATTTTTAGAGAATGTACTATGTGAGTTTTCTGAGCAATCAACCCCTAGACATGGTCATTGTCTCTTCCTCTTCCTCCTCTACCTTTTCCTTCTTGGAACTTGGGATTGAATCTATGGCCTTTAAACTGAACCCCCAGCCTCAGTTTCCCAGGCTGGCTTCAGACTTGCAGTCCTCTTGCCCTAGCCTCCCTAGTAGCTGGGATTATAGATAAAGGCCACCTTGCCCAGTGAAACTCTGTAGACTTTGTAAGAAGCTAACCACAATCACAGACATTGTTTCCCATGAAAATTTTTGCCCTGAAACTTACTTCACATTTCCCTTCCTTCTGCATGGTAGACTGAATGTAGCTTTGCTTTTTTGCTGACCCATTTTCCTTGAATAATGCTGGTCTGCATCCTTCTGCAGAGTTGTGATGGTGACTGCAGGGGCACGTTCCCCAGGGTATGGTCTTAATAAAGCCTGACTAGCAGTACCTCCTGCTTTTGAGAGACCCTAGAGATGCAGGGACTTTGACAGATGGGCCTCAGCATCATGACTCTTACCTGCATTTGAGCCACTGGCACAGAGGGACAAGGCCAGTGTCAAGGTGACACACATGGTCACCTGGCCAATGAGGTGACTTCACCGGGGCCCCAAGACCCTCAAGCCCTCAGCCAGCACACTGCATGATGAGGGCCTGAGTTGTAGAATGTTGGCCTAGTGTTCTCCAAGGGGATTGGACATCTGCACGTAAATCACCTTACCTGAGACTGTTCTTCCTGAGGTTCACCACTTACACCTGGTTTTCACTGTAGTGTGGAGATGATGGGGAACATGGAACTGGCCCCAGAAGTAGACGTCAATGCCCTGGAGCCTTTACTCTCTCCTAGCGTGGTCTCTGAGCTGCTCGACACGTACATGTCCACGCTCACTGTGAGTAGAGCCACTGAACTGCACAGGGACAGGGACTGTAGGACAGTGGGCATGGCCAGGGCTATGGAGAGAAGGCCTAGGGACATCTGGGCCAGCCTCTGCAGTTGTCTGGCTCTGTTTCGGGGACTTGGCACATGGGTCTGCAGTTAGAGGGGGTTGTGGGCCTGCGCCTGTCTGGGCGTCTGTTCGCAGCAGCAGCAGTTCCTAGGGTGGGGGAGCCAGCTTGTGTGGCCCTGGTGTCCAGATCTTGTGTTCTGCTGCCTGCCGAGCTCTTACACTGAGCCCCAGGAAGGGGGGGTTGACAGTTTGGGGCATGGGAGGCCGGTCTGTTCGCAGTTTTGTGATCACCAGGCAGTCTCATTAAGATGGAAGGTCAGCGTGTCTCTCTAGTGACCCTGTGGCGTTCTGGCCTGCACATGAGGCTCCCTGGGGGCTGGAGAATTGTTTTCTGTTGGGGCTGAGCTGATGGGCTGCATTGTCTATCTTGGGTGGCCTGGGCCTGGCCACACAGCTGTCTGCCTTGCTCTCTGAGCATCTGACTAGTCCAGCTGCATCACCCATCATCTTAGCCATCCACAGGGCCTTCTGTCCGTTCTCCCCTTTTGCCTGCAGGGAGGGTTTTGTCCCACGTCCCTGGAGTCTAGTATGGGCCCTGCCCACCTCCTCATGAGAGCAAGTATCAGTGTGCTACAGTGCGTCTGGTTGGACAGCATGTGCCACTGTAGCAAGAGCGTTGGGCATAACGCAGTGCCTGTCCTCCTTTCTCTTCTTCATGGTGCCACACCTCTAGTCCAATATTATTGCCTGGCTGCGGAAAGCACTGGAAACGGATAAGAAGGACTGGAGCAAAGAAACGGAGCCGGAAGGCGACCAGGATGGGTACTACCAGACAACGCTGCCTGCCATTGTCTTCCAGGTAGGAGCTCTGGACCCCCATGGTGTCACCTCCTGGGTGGTTGGTTGGATCTGTTGGTTTCACTGAGGCCCACAGATGCTTCTTTACTCTTCATTTGTAGACATAAAGTTGATGAGAACCTTCTGTTTCGCTCTCTTGCCATCTGTTTCTCCTGGGTTGAAGAAACTGAGGATCCAGGATTCTGTTTACCAAGTAGTTTTGCCTATGGTCACTTCAGTTTCCCAAAGAAGTCTTTGGGTTTGAACTGGGACCTGCTTCCATATATATAGGTTATGCATGACTCTGCCATTCTGAGTTTGCTTCTTTGACATTTCCTCCTGTTGTAAATGGCCAAGATCTGCCTTCAGAATGCTGTGTAATTGAGTTCCATCTGGAGAATCTGGGGGATCCCATAGCGTGTTGAAGGGCTTCCCTGTACACTAACTAGACGGAGTGCTAGGGTCCGGCTCTCCTTTACACCTGCCCCTGCTGTGCCCCCCTCTCTCCTGCTCTGCGTAGCACTGCCAAGGGTGGGAGCCTCCAGGCAGGCACGGCAAGGCCAGTGGGTGTGTGCAGGACAGTGTCGTTCCTCAGCAAAGGGGGCCTGCACCTTTCTGCACCTTTCTGACACCCTGCCACCAGCACCCGGGGGCTAGGCTGTGCCACCCTTCCCTGTCTCCTGGGTCCTGGCTCCTCCAGCTCCAGTGTGCCTGCCTCCTGATTCTTAGAAAGCCACATCCTGAAGCCCTTGGCAGTGGCTGGTCATGAATACTTTGAGGAGCAGGCTGGGTGCTCAGATCACCCACTTCCAGCCCAGCCTCTGACACCCATGGGGTCTAGGCCCATCCCCTTCCCACCCTCCCTCACCTTAGCATCAGGGATGCGTTGAGAGAATGGGCAGCCCTTGGTAGAAACTCATCAGTGGGTGACTGGACATCGTGTCCCTGGATTCTTACCCACTGAGGAAAGTGCTTATTTCACTGACCCTCTTATTTTTCAGCTAGTTTCACTTTTTTCTTGGAATTTGGACTTATAATTCCCAGTTAGCAGGCAGGGTTTCATTAATGAGGAACCTGAACTATGTGTATTCTTGTGAGATTGTGTCAGCATTTATAAGTTCTTCAACTTTCAGATGTTTGAACAGAATCTGCAAGTTGCTGCTCAGATAAGTGAAGATTTGAAATCAAAGGTACTGGTTTTGTGTCTTCAGCAAATGAATTCTTTTCTAAGTAGGTATGTATTTTTACCATTGTAATAATTTAGAAATTATGTTCTTAGAAATTATGTTCTTAATAATTAATAGCAAAAATGTGTTGATGCTAATGTGCTGTTTTTAAAACATAAGCCTGGAGAGTCCCCCTGTTTTGTTTAGAAATGCAGATGGGTCCCTTTGAGTGGACTACACCATTCCCTTTGGGATCCCTGATCTGAGGTGCTGTGAAGTCCTTGGCAGTGCAGTCAGAAATGCTGGCCATGTGGAGGTTGCTGGCTGCTCTGGACAGTTGTCTGTGAGCACCAGAACTTCCTGGGGTGGGAGGCGAGCCCTCAGGAGAATAGTCACTTCCCAGGGGAGGGCCCTCTTGGCAGACTCAGACAGGGAGTGGGGGGACTGCCCCAGTGGACCTTTCCCTCTGGATTGTTTGTAATGAAGGTTTTCAGACCTAGACAGAAGAGAAAGAATGGTATAAAAAATATGTTCACCCCAAAACAACCTCTTGCCCACTGTCCTCGCCTGACCTGCTGTCCTCTGCCCCTCCTGTCCTTCCTTTCTGCTGCCTGGACATCATGGCAGTCTCATCCTATGCTCTGTGCTGTTCACTGTGGCACCATCAGCTCATACAGATGGACTTCCCTGTCATTCTTAGGCCTCTGCTGACCTAGGGCCACCCTTCGGTCTTTGGGCTCCTTTTCAGATAAGATGGGCAAGATGTGGTGTCCAGGGTCCTGTGGTGTCCCTAGCTAGTTCTCTGATTGCCATCTTCCCTGGGACCAAACTGGCCCAGTTCCTTGTTTGCTTACTGATGGGTGTGCTCCACATTGCAGCCTGGCGGACACTGGTTGGTTCTACCCTGACAGCTTAGGTGCCCTTTGCCTCAGAGTCCCGAGTCTCCTCCATCCTTGCACAGAGTCACATCCCGAGTGTGGATGTGTCCTGTTAGTGCATCCATAGGCTTAGGACCCAAGTCCTGTCAGTCCACTCACCATAGGTTACAGCCCAGGTCCTTATTCATTTATGTGAGAAGGAGCTTTCCCAGACCAATCTCAGCTGGTTGGTACCTGAACCACACTTGAACGGAGGCAAAATAAATGTTTCTTTCCCTTTGTCGGTTTTCAGTTAGCTCTTTTTAATATCTAAAAATATATACAATGCTCACTGTTCTGCTTTCCAGTTCTAGTTGAGAATCTCCAAGATAAGCTAAAATAATGTGTGTGGTATCTCAGTTGTTTGTTTTCTTGATATATCAAGAATCTAAGTAGTTTTGGTATCTATTTCATATTCTTTAATATCCACTTAAAATGATCAACTTCTGGGGCCGGGGATTTAGCTCAGTGGTTTCACTGCCTGCTGCGCAAGCGCAAGGACCTGAGTTCGATCCCTGGTACCAAAAAAACCACAGAAAAACAGTCAACTTCTCTGTTCTCCAGTTAGTGTGGCCCACTCATGAGTATGCTTTATGTTTAGAGATATGTCTGGTTGTGGCAGTGTGGGCTCCCTGTCAGGCTGACGTCAGCATGGCACTGGGAAGGCATGGTGCCCCCCACTGACACATGTATGGTCCCCAGGTACAGAGACGAGGCCCAGCTGTACAAAGAGGAGCACCTGCGGAACCGGCAGCACCCGCACTGCTACGTGCAGTACATGATCGCCATCATCAATAACTGCCAGACCTTTAAGTACGCTCGTGGGGCAGGAGGCAAATGCCAGCACCCATGAGGCTGCTCCCCTGACTCAGGATGTTTCCTTGCAGAGAATCAATCATCAGTTTGAAGAAGAAGTACTTAAAAAATGAAGCAGAGGAAGGCATGTGTCTGAGCCAGCCAAGTATGGATGGGATTCTAGACACCATTGCCAAGGAAGGCTGCAGCAGCCTGCTGGAGGAGGTCTTCTTGGACCTAGAGGTGGGCCTGGCTTCTTCCCCTGAGGGCTGAGCCCAGGGCTCTCTGTACTGCCTGTGGGTGCTGTGCATGAGTTAAGCTGTACTCTGTGTCCATATGAAGCAAGAGGCAGAGGGCCTCTGTCTGCTTCATATTATACCAGGCCCCTAGGCACAACTCAGTAGAGACTCCCAGTAAATATCAGACATTCAGCCATGGTGTAGGTTACCACATAGAGCAAGTATGTAGAAACTCGTCACAAAGTACAGTTGAGGAACCCACACGCTACCACCTGGACAGCCTCCCTATTGGACAAAGACACAATACACACATATACATGTACAGACAAGGATTCCTTATGCTTATATGAAGGAGTAGTGTACCATGATGCAACATGCACACACATGTACAAACATGGATCCCTTATGGTTATATGGAACCGTAACATCCCATGATGTAACACACACACATGTACAGACAATCCCTTATGCTTGTATGGAAGAGTAACATTCATGAACAAGTAGGGCTCATTTCTTTCAGTTCTTTTGGAAATGGGTCATTTTGGTCATTTGCTGTGGCTCACAAGTGTCCATGTGTTCACAAGAGTCCAGTGCTGAACAGGTTAGGTACCTGAAACTTTCTCAAAAAATGGCCTAAAAAAAAAAAAAGAAGGAAGTATTTGCTTTGGGGATTATTTTTATTTAATTTTTTTTTATTTTTGGTACCGGGGATCAAACTCGGGGCCTTAGCTTGCGAGGCAGGCAGTGGAACCACTGAGCTAAATCCCTGGCCCTGGAATTATTTTTAAATTTGTAAAAATGACAGTACCAAAACAAAATGTATAAATGACCTCTTCATGGAAAAAGAAATGCCAGAGTCGTGAATACAAAACAGGGAGCCCAGTCTTATTGATTGTTGAAGAAACAGAAATTAAAACTGAAAGTTATTTGCTGCCTAGCATGTGCCAAGAATTAAAAGCAGACACCAATAGATATTGAAGGCACAAGAGAAAACGTGTGTTCTTGTGTTCTGTGTAGAGGTGAATTGATACAGTTTTGTAGGGCAGTTTGGAAATACAGTTATCAGAGTTCTAATTAGTATACTTTTTGACTGAGGAGTTCCACTTTAATTTCCCTTGCAAAAATACACAAATTTACTGGAGTACTATTTAAAATTGCAAAATATGAAAAATATTTAAATGTCCATCAGTAAAGAACTGAGTAAATACATTATGGAGTATCCATATTTAATAAATATATGTTGCCTTTAAAGGTAAAATGCATACATGCACAATTATTTGCATGTCTGACCTGTTACTTTGTGAAGCTCATCACAAAGGTTGTATGTAGTATGAATCTGTGTTTCATGTGCATAGTGTCACTCAAGGTGGTGATTTCTGTGACCTGTCTGTGCTTTTCAGCAACATCTGAACGAACTAATGACAAAGAAGTGGCTGATAGGGTCAAATGCTGTGGACACCATCTGTGTCACTGTGGAAGACTATTTCAATGATTTTGCCAAAATTAAAAGGCCGTATAAAAAGGTAAGGCACAGCACACTGCAGCCTCCCTCACATCTGCATTAGAACTCACTGTCAGCTTAGCTCATGGGTGGTTCTAACTGACCCAGGGGAGGCAGGTGGTGTTGGTGTCATGTGGTCTGGTGATGGGAGAGAGGAGGCAGGGGCTCCTGGGTGAAGCAATTGTGTTCTCCAGCCCTTCGCAGAACCTACTCAGCCTCCACTGAGGGTGGAGGAGGACAGGCCACAGACCTGGGACTTCTGTGGGTGAGGGACGTTGGTGGCACCAGAGACCCCCAGAAAAGCAAGTGAGGAGAAACAGCAGCTCCTCTCAGATGCTCCAGCATGCTCCTGGCCAAGGCCAGTGTCCCTGGCTGTGTAGTGCAGGCCCGGTGGGCACCCAGGAGTCTGCTGCCAGTAGAGGGAAGGACATATCATATCACCCTGCTGCATGCAGAGCCTACACCATCTGGGGACGGGAACTCTTGGCTGGCTATTGTGGTGTCCCCACATCTGTACTGTTCTTTGTCCAGGCCTTGAGCACCTTGGTTGTTGGTGTTAGTATTACTTTTCAGGATTAGCTTCTGACCACTGGTTTCTGGTTTACAGGGGGAAGTGGTTTGAGAGATCTGCCTCACACCCAGCACTTTGTGCAGTTTCCTCATTGACCACAGCCCTCTGTCCCTGAGCCCCTTTGTGAGCTGTATGTGGGCAGTTGTTGCACCTATGATGTTGCATGCCAGCTTCATCCTTCCACCTTTTGTGCTTTTTCCTTGTCCAGTTCCTGATTTTTAAAGGAAGATCTTCTAGTTCTTTGCCACTGAAAGGCACTTTAAATCGAATGAGCTAATTTGGCCACTCACGGCATCAGGAGGCTTCTGTCAGAGATGGAGGGGCATTGGGACCAGCCCCTGCCTCTGGCCAGTTATTAGGATGGTGAAAGCAAACTTCTGGCCAAAGTGTTCCAGGCCTTGATGTATTTGCAGCTGGTGCAGAGACAGCCCCAGGTTCTTGTAACTCTAGTCCTCAGCCAAAGCATAGATGCAGACAGTTCTGATGAGCCAGCGTCTAGGCTCAGCTGGTGGGTCCTCAGTGACACCGGGACATGAGGCCTCAGGTGCCACTCAACAGCTTGTGAGCAGGGCCAGCATACTCTCTCCAGTGTCACCACCTCTCCCACCCCAGGCCATCCAAGACCCTTTGAAGTGTCAGCTTCTGATGCAGGTCTAGTGTTCACTGCCCCATGTGGATGAGCCACCTACCTGTACCTGTGGGCTAGGCCCATGCTACAGAGGGCCTTCAGAGGAAGTGGCCCTGGGAGTAACCTTGAGGGAAGCAGAATCCCTGGGGCTGCTGTCACCTAGTAGTGGAGTCACATCTGTCCTCTGCCTGGGTCCCAGGAGGGCCTTGAGCCCAGAGAGAGGCTGTATGTACATGAATGGTGTGTGGGTACATTGCATGTATCGTATGTGCTGTATGTGGACAGGAGTATATTGTGTGCAATGCGCATGTGTTTGTGTGTATATATATGGTATGTTGTGTGTCCACGTGTATTGTGTGCATGTGCAATGCCTGTGCATGTATTGTGTGCACATGTGTGTGCTGTGTACATGGGGTACTAAGTGTATGTTATGTACAAGTGCACATGTTGTATGTGCTGGAGTATTTATACATCCATGTAGATTTGTATGCATGTATTGTGTTTGCGCATGTGCATTGTGCCCCTGTGTCTGTACACATACTTGTATGTTTGTGTTCATGTGTATGCATTCCGGTGTATACGTGTGTGTTTGCATACACGTGTGTTGCATTCTGCTTTGGTCACCTTCAGATTCCCTCCCTGCCTGAATGTGGAGTGGAAAATGTCCTGCATACATGCTGTGGGGCACTTGCGCTGGGCATCCCCCGCTGGAGGGATGGTTTCTGCTGTCAGCGCAGCGTGTGTTGGGATGTGGAGGCCAGAGCCAACCCACAGCCTTCTGCAAGGAGTGAGATGGCGCGGCACAGCAAGTAGTGGTCATGTGGCATTTTGGGGTCCTGCAGCTTCCTCCCAAAGGCACGTCACATGCTGGCAAGGGTGCCCCTCTGAGGTGGCCCGTACTTTGTGCAGTCCATGTTTATTTCCTGTGAAAATGCGGGCAGATACAAACTCCTGCCAGGGAACATTGTCGATGACCCCTGCCGTGGGTCTCAGTCTCCTGTGAGACAGTGTGACACAAGCTGAGAAAGACAAGAAGAGAGCGGAAGCACAGACTTGAGAGAAGGAGCTGGGTCTTGGGCTGATCCACGCTGCTCTGGGCAGCAAAGACCGAAGGCAGCAAGGACACCCAGTGCTCACGCATCACAGGGAGGGAGGGAGGGAGGGAGGGAGGGGAGCCGGGCAGGCTCAGGACGCCTGCCGATACCAAGGGTCACAGGCAGGGCCACCGGCATTTCTTTACTGAAGAGAACAAATGCTTAGCTCAGAGGGGGAAGAGTTGGTTGGAGTCAAGGTGGCCTTGGCTGGAAGTGAACTCAGCAAGGCCCTGTTACTTTTCATGTAATACCGCCGGATGATGGAGGGTCCAGAAGCTTCTGCCACTTAAATACTGGGCAGAGACATCTGCTGGACCCTAAGTCGAAATGAGGGGCCACCAAGTGTTCGGTGCTGCCTGCTCTTCACGTCGCTTCCTGTCATTTGGCATACAGCAGGTGCTTGCTGCGAGGCTTTGGTGAGCACAATTCCTTAGGTTGTGGAGAGCCCTCCTCGTCGCTTTCTAGGCCCGGTGTGAGAGGCTCGGTTTACATTGAGCCACGCGCTGGTTTTGCTTTGCTAAGTTCTGTTTCTGCACCTGCAGAGATGGTGGCAGTTCTTTGTCCTTGAACTGGCCAGGGTCCCTCAAGCTGTGGCTGTGGCTCTGAGTTTGGTGGTGATGGCTCTCTACTCACACCTTGCTGGGTTTAGTTGTCCAGTGCCCTTTCTGGTTTCTGTCTTGGTTTTTCTTGGGGCTCGTAACTGAAGTTGCAGTGGCCTTACAGCTGACTGAGGAGGTCTGCCTGTGCTGTGTCTGGGAGGGTGTTTACACTGGGAAGCCTGGCAGAATCTCCCTGGAACTGCGATGTTTCCTTTGGTGTGGATGGATGCAGCTCGTCCTGTCTCAGGACGCTCTGCCTTTCTCTTTCTTCTCCGGTCGGTACTCTTCGTATGTCTCTGGCTGGTTCCTTGTCATTCCCAGCACAAACAGCGTGCTCTCTGGTCACTTGTGATCGGCTCTCTTGTGAGTGCACCAGAGACCGTCATCATCACGAGTAACTCTCAGCTGACACCCATGTCACCAGCACCTGGATCGAGATTGCAGTGTGGTCAGTACCTGCCTCCCCCAGGTCCTGGCTTCTGGGACAGGAGTTCGCTCACCTTTTGTTGTGATTGTTTACCTGTGTGTTCTCTAAGAAGAGTGTGTGGGTGGGATGCGGCTCAGCAAAGAGTGCTTGCCTAGAGTGTGAAAGGGTCTGGATGCTACACACACACACACGCACACAATGTAGTCGTGTCTGTTTTCAAGCTTTATACAGTGAGATGATTCTGTCCAACCAGCGGAAGGGGTCCCGGGGCATCTCTGCATCCCCTCCTCGCTATGGTGCTGGATGCACCCAGGGTGTCCCAGCAAGGCCCTCTCGGGCACAGGACTGCAGCAGTGCCAGGAGATGCTGCCTGTGTCCAGGCATGGAGCCTGCTCTGGGCAGCAGCAAGTCACTGTGTCTTGTTTGTGGTCACTGGTGGTGTCCGGAGGCCTCTTGCTATGATTTAAATGGGCACCTCCCTCATTATTAATGGGGCCCAGCACCCTATTTGATTGGTCGTTTGGAATTCTTTTGTGAGGTGTTGTCACAGTTCAGGCTATCTGAAAGTTGTGATTCATTTGTAGGATTTTTGTTTGTGCTCTGAAATGAGTTTCTGCCTGGCCGTGTGTGTTTTGGCCCTCTTCCCTTCTGTGTCTGTTTCTGGGAGTGGCTGAATTGTGTCTCCTTCAGAATGTTGAAGCTCAGGCCCCTGTTCCTAGAATGGGGCTGTGCTGGGAGGCAGTGTTCCTAAAGCAGTGAGGAGGCCCGTCCATTGGGAGAGGAGGCTTCAGGCCTTAGGAGTCCTTAGAGGGTGAGGACGAGGTTGCAGTTGGGAGGACAGCCTGGGGAGAGGCCCCGGAGGAACCAGCCCACTCAACCTGTCCTTGAAGTTTGCCTCTGGAACCAGAGGGTAAATCTGTGCAGTGTGACCCCCACTGTGGGCTGAGTCAAGCAGTCTGAGGAGATTAGTAGTTTCTACTTCTCTTCATGGTTTCTTTTGAGAAAAGCTGCCCTTACTTTTAATGTACTTAAATGTATCTTTTCTTCTATGGTTAACCCTTTTTGGTTTTCTTAAGAAACCTTTGAAGTATTGGTATGTTGGTCTTAGTCACTGTCTGACAGCCTTGGGCTGGGCAGCTACCACTCCATGTTGGAGTGTGGTGTCTTGTGCCAGCATGATACACAGGTGCCACTTGCTGACATGGAGTTTGTTGTGGCACTGTCTCTGTGCATTTGTGACCTCCCGCCGTGCCCATGCTGGAGGAGGTCCTCTAGGGACAGTGTCCACCTCCTGAGGCGGCCTTGGCCTTTGCCCTTGCCCGCACCAGTGCTCTATGTGCGGTCCACAGCTTTCTAGCTGTGGGCTAGTGTCCTCTGCCATATCTAAGGCCTCTCAGGTCCCCTCGCTGTGGTGGGACGTGTACCCTTAGGCCTGGTGGTGTGTGTGGGTCCGCTTGGTACCAGTAGGAAGAGCTGATGTGCTGCTGTTCTTGTCACAGTGCGTGCATAGTTGAGATCTCTCAAACTGTCGGGGGAGCCCAGCCCTTCCGACTGGCTTGTTTACCTGCCATGAATTCCACTTTTTCCCCTTGCCATCCCATGCCCAGGGGTTTCCTCTCCTTGTTTGCCTCCTTGCTGGACCTTCCCTGGCTCCTCTTCCTCAAGATCTGCATCCCATGGTGGGCAAGGTGCTGCTTTGAGGGCTCCCCATGGGAGCCTGGGAGCCCCACAGGCCATGAGGCCGGGTGGCTGGACCAGGCTGTTCACCCACTGAACCTTTGCCTGGCTGTGGTCTGAGATGCCCAGGGATGGTGGAGAGGAGATACAGAACTACCTCAGGAGTGTCAGCAGCCCCAACAGGGCTGTCACTCGGGCCAGCTGGAGGCTCGTCCCAGGGTGACTTCACCCCTATAACAACTCAGGCGATGTTGGAAGTGAGCTTCCACTGGACACTTAGTTCTGTTGCTGCCTAGAATGGAGACATCAGCACAGGATCCCCAGCCAGTGTCCGGTACCCTTCCTGCTGGGTTGTGGGGAGCAGCCAAAAGCTCACAGTGACATCTCAAAGGTACTTAATAGAGTCACTCTAAAATCCCCCACCGTGTTGATGGAAACACTGTGGTCCAGCTGCTCACCTCAGACTGGGATTATTGGGCCCATCCTCACCCACCAGGGCGGCACAGCTGCAGCTGAATGTGTTTCTCCCCAGAGGATGACGGCCGAGGCGCACCGGCGCGTGGTAGTGGAGTACCTACGGGCTGTCATGCAGAAGCGCATCTCTTTCCGGAGCCCTGAGGAGCGCAAGGAAGGTGCTGAGAAGATGGTCCGGGAGGCAGAGCAGCTGCGCTTCCTGTTCCGGAAGCTGGCATCTGTGAGTTGCAGGCGTGCTAAGGGCACCAGGGCTAATTGTGTGGACACAGAATCCTGTAGTCGCACGGCCGGGTTTTGGTTTCCACCCTGGGATGTGCAGGTCGGTGGGCGGGGAACCAGTCACAGGAGGAAGCAGCAGCCGATTAGTTCTCTGTCAGGATTAGTTCTCTGTCAGGGACGGTCTGGGTCCAGAGCCCACCTGGCCCCGAGGATGACACGTGCATTACCAAGAGGCTCATGCTGTTGGCAGTGGCTTCTGATTTCTCTAGCAGCAGCCCATGGCCTTGTGGCACAATACCTGCCTTCCTATCCACTCTCTGCCCTTGTCTCTTATGTTCTGAGATCCTGGTTGCTACCCAGTGACCTGACTCCAGGGCCCACTCTGCTGTGCCCAGTGGTCCTCACTTCAGGTGCCCAAGCCCATTGGAAGGCTGGGTCAGGCCGTGCCCTAGAGTAGCCCCCCTTCCAGAGTCTTGGTGTCCACAAGAAAATCAGGGCACTGGCCAGAAAGGGGACTGGGGAGTCAGGATGAAGCCATCCTCCTGCTCTAGGCAATAGAGCCGCAGGCTGCCCCTCTGCTGTTTTCCAGGGGTTTGGCGAAGACGTGGATGGGTACTGTGACACGATTGTCGCTGTGGCAGAGGTTATTAAGCTAACAGACCCTTCCCTACTCTACCTAGAGGTTTCAACTCTGGTCAGCAAATATCCAGACATCAGGTAATCACTGCACATCTTCCTCGTGCGCTTGCCAGCCAGTTAGAAAGAGCTAAGTGTGTGGTAGAGGGTGGCCATGGCCGTGGAGGTGAGGGTGGCAGTGTGGCTTCTGTGCAGTGTCCTGCCTGCCCTCCTGTGCGTGCAGACCTGTCTGAGTGGAAAGGTGTCTGGGGCATAGTCTAGCTGCCATGTGGGCCGTGGTGAGTTTGGAGGGGAGGGTTGGGGTCTGGGGGCAGCCTGGACAGGTGGTCCTAGGAAGCTCTGTCCTGCAATGCTTGTAGGACCTAAGGAAGGGAGTCCATATGCCGTGCATGGCCAGGACACCCTTCCATGTTCGTAACCTTGGGGTCCCTGATGTTGGGCTGAGGGAAGGGGCCGCTTTTGTCTCACTGCCCACAGTGCTTGGCTTTGCTTGGCCTGGCCTTTGTGACTCTATCCCAGGCTTCTACCCCTCCTTGAAGGACGAGCATGGCCAAGCTCAGTCTGAACCCACTCCTTGCTGCTTCATCTCTGCTGAGGGGAAGCGTGAGCTTTAGAGCCCTCTGGGTCACCCCCGCAGGGGCCATCTTTGAACCCAGGGATTCTCAGAGCAGTGTCTAAAGCCTTGTGCGGTGGTGGGTAGAGAAAAGGCCCCAGTAAGAAAACCAGGAAAATGGTTCCTTTTGCCTGCACATCCACAGCACCTCCCAGGGTTCTGCTCTGTGGGGATCAGGCCGGAGTGTCTGGGGGGGCTGATGGCATGTGTCCCTCTGCCACAGGGATGACCACATCGGCGCCCTGCTAGCCATGCGCGGGGATGCCAGCCGGGACATGAAGCAGACCATCATCGAGTCCCTGGACCAGGGCCCCACGCCGGCGAACCCCGACTACGCGCCCCTCTTCAGGGAGATTGTTGTGCCCAGTCTGAATGTGGCGAAGCTCCTCAAGTAGCCAGCCATCTGCTCGTGTGTGGTCCTCTGTGGCTTCATGTCCCTGCTTTCAGAAGTGTATTAAAGTGGATGTCCCTCTCCAGGGCCACCTTTGGTAGTCTTAGCTACAACCTGCCTGTCCTTTCAGGTGCCCAAGTGTGTGTGGGTGAGGGCCGTGGGGTGGCTTCTGGGTGCCTGATTCTGTGGATTTTCCACCCTCCTGTAAGCGTGCTTCGTGAGGACATCTTTGTGGAAAGCCTCTCAGTCACTTGTGGGAAATGGGTGTCCCTTACTTCCATCATGGGCCTTGATCTGCCCAGCACACACACGCAGGACCTTTGCCACCTGATGAAAAGAAGCAAAAGCCAGGTGGTTTCGGCCTAGTGATGACATTCCATTCTCAGAAGCTGCTGTCGCTGGGCCCAGTTCCACCCTGGCTTTTCTGACTGCCCCTAGGCCAGCACCTTGGTCCATATCAGAGAGGAACAGCTCACCTGCTGGATGCAGGGAGCCTACCCAGGTGAACAGAGCCCCACAGGGTAGTGCCAGCTGTGTCAGACACCAGGATGAGCAGCGCCAGGAGCATGTCAGTAGAAATGGATATGAAATGAATATTGGGAATATGTTTCAAGATGTGTATGTCATGCTTATTTGTGATGCACAATACCTAAAATAATTCTTCTCTAACTTAGCCTTGCCTCTATAGCATCTGCCTTCAATGGTAGCATCATTTTTCATTTATCTTTAACTTTTTTTGTTGTTTTCGGTGGTGCTGTGGATTAAACCTAGGGCATCGTGCATGCTAGGCAAGTGCTCTACCATGGACCTACATCTCCAGCCCTTTTGAGACAAAATTGCCCAGACTGGCCTTGATCTTGCAGTCTTGCCTGCCTCAGCCTCCTGAGTAATGAGAACTACAGGTGTGCGCTACCATGTCCTGCTCAGTAATCTTTAAGCTGCTTAAGAGAATGGCACCCAGAATGAGCAGTGACCCCTGGGTCCTTGTAGACTCTGCATGCCTGTTCAACAGAGCAGTGCTGCAGCTCCATGAGAGGAAAGACATAGCTGGTGTCCCTTTGCCCTGGCTCCCTGTGCACACAAAGGGTCACCCCGTCCTCTGGATCCCAAGTAGGTGAGAGGTGGAGAGAGTGGCAGGACAGATGCTGCGGGACATCTTCCACGGGCGGTGTGGGCTGCATACCATGTGGCCACTTAGCATGTGTGGATGAGTGTCACGTTTTCTCTCCCTCTTTGAGATGGCAGAGTTGATGTTCTTCTTTTATTTCATCCTCACAAGCTAAGGAAAATTCACTAATAGGCTTTTGTCTCAGACTGGAATTAAGTGCAAATTGGAGAGTGATCCAGGAGTCTCAGAAGAGACAGAGCCACCCGGGTGACATCCAGCTGCTGCTTGTTTGTCCTCTCTGTCAGCCTGCAGTGGGTGTGACTTGAGGGATCTGGAACCCACCATGCCAGCCATCATTAGTTACTGTACAGTACAAACCTCCTTGCAGGAGACCTCAGGAAGGAGGGCCCAGTGTGGACATCCAGGTGACAGCAGCGTTCCCTGTGGCTTCTGCTCCTGTGTGCTCTGTTGTAGGCCATGGTCACTGTGGGCCCATGAGGACTGAGTGCTGGCTCTGGCCAGACTGGAGCACATTTGGAGGCAAGATGTGCTGGCAGCCGTGGGAAGGGCACTGTCTACTTCCTGGCAGAGCCCTGGGCTAGGTCACCTCCGAGCTGCTCAGGAGGGGGCACTGCTGTGCAGGCCTGGGCAGGCCCATCCCACAAGGAAGGCTGGAGTTTGCTTCCTGCACAGCATGGCCAGGCAGCTGCTGCCGGAGAAGCCATGTAAAGGGTTCTTGTCCAGAAGCCTGGTCTGGAAGCATTGTAGCCCTTGCTGCCTGCAGCCCCCAGTTCCATGGCTCAGTTCCTCCTCCCTAGGCCAGCAGAAGAGTTCCTTGGTCTCAGTCCCATCCAGTGAGTTCCAGAGAATGTGGAGAAAGGGACCCCAGTGTCCCTGCCCTCCATCCTTCCTCTGCTGACACAGTTCTCAATGGTGGGTAAGGTGCCTCCCCATGGCTGCCCTACGTGGACTGGACCGGCAGACAGAGCCAAAGGGAGGTGGAGAAACAGCTACCACTACTCACCACTTCTCCGTAGGCCAAATCGCACCCCCCACCCTGAAAAGAGGCCTGAGATCTTAACCTCTGGACCTTATTCAGAAATGGGATCAGAGCAGGTATGACTGCAGCATGTGGGGACACAGTGGGAGGGGATGCAGGTCATAGAGAGAGTTAGAGGGAAGTGTCTGAGATGCCTGAGATGCCAGCAGCCAGTGGAGCTGGAAGAGACCAGAGGATCGCTCTCATCCCCGGGCCTCCGGGACGACTGACCTTGTGAGCCTCCTACTGGGGTTGTTACATTCTGGTTCATTGCTTTGAGATGACTGTGAATTCACTAGTTAGACTCCTCTTATGAACAGTTTGGGGACTCTGATGTGCAATTTTAACATAAGCATTGTAAACAATAATTTCTGCCACGTAGACCTAACTTCTGACCTGTTGGAGGTTCCACCGGCACAGAGAGGCAGCTCAGAGCCCCTGGCTACCCCACATCCTCATCTCGACCTGCCAAGGCCCCCTTATCTATCTGGATGCAGGCTTGGTGGGTGCTGCCCTACCACCCATCCTGGTCACTGCCCAGCTCGCTCCAAGGTAGCGCTGACCTTTCTCCATCTGTACCAGTGGCACCCACTGTGCCCAGCACGTCACAGCTGTGCCCGGTGACTTCCTCACGGACGGCGTGGGACACGTTTGTGTCAACGTGGAATACGTTTGTGTCAACGTTAAGTTCAGTACAGAGTGACGCCTGCCTACAGGAGACTGATCCTTATATCTTGGGTTTCTCATTTACAAAGTTTTCATCCAAAATGCCTTGAAATGTTTTAACAGAATTGGTCAATTGGACCTGGGATGTAGCTCAGCAGCACAGCACCGGCCTGGTAAGTGGGAGGCCCTGAGTTCAATTCCCAATTCAAAAAAAAAAAAAAAAATGGTCACGCAGTCTGTGTTGGAGGCTGTAATGGGCTCCCTGTGCAGGCACTGGCACATGGGTCCGGAGGGACCTTAAGGCATATCACTTGTGATGAGAATCCAGGGTTTGGCCAGTTACACTCTCAGCTCATCACTCATAAAACCCACCTCAATTTGATTGGACGAAATTCTTTAAATTTCCTTTCGTAATAGATGAGTGATATATACAGTACAATGAACACTGTAACAATTATTTTCAGGAAGACTACAGAAGAGAAATAGCAATTTTCTAAATTGTGTACATTACAGTACCACAAAGTAGGCCAAAGTTCAGTATTACATAAATAGATAACCTCCTAATAAAAATTTTTACAACGGCTTCCTTAAGGAAATACATTCATAGACTGTTTACGTTCTGTTTTACAAGTGACAGTAATAGCAGGGTTCTCCTGTCTGAAATGGCCACACTGCCCTCTGAGGGCAATGTAGATTCCCGGGAGCAATGCTTTCTAGTCTGAACTCTGGTTCCACCGCAGCTGTGTCCAGCTTCGGAGTTCACACCCGCCCAGACGAGGCTGCCCCTTCAGAGACACCAGCATGGAGCATCAAGGGGCATCTGTCTGAGATTTGCTGCCTGGCGGCTGGCTTTGGTATCTCAGTGTGCGCAACCAGGAGCTGCCTGAACCACTGTCCCAGACCCAGCTTCTGATCCTGCAGTGGGAATTGGACCCTACGTCTCATGCATGGCCTAGGCAGGTTAACGCAGCTCCCAGTGTGAGCAGGCAAGCCACTTGGCTGTAGAGCACCCCAGGTAAGGCTCCTGAGTTGCACCAGCTGGCTGTGTTGCACTGCAGCTGGCCTTGGTCTCATCTATAAGCAAGGAAAGCAGGGCCAGGAAACCAGAGGTCCTGTATGTCAGTGTCAGCAGATGGGTTCCAGTCGGAGGAGCAGCTCTGAGGCAGAAGCCAGGGCCTTTTGTGTTGAACAGACTGCTTTCACTAGTTCCTTTAAACAGTGAAGTCGTGAAGGGGAAAGCATGTGCTTTTTCTGTCTGGGACTCACTGTGTGGCATTAACACCAAGTGCTGCCGACCCCTCTGACCCCTGAGAATGAGCTGTCAGCCTCAACCCTGAGGTGGCAGCAGTTTTCCTGAGCAGAGCTGGGAGTGGTTTTCGAAAAGCGTGGAGGGCCCTTGCTCCCTTTCAGCCCCTCTGGTCTTCCTCAATGACATGGGTGCAGGAGAGCGCTGCCTTGGCAACCTTCAGCGTGGGTTTTGAGGCTTGGGGGTGACCCACCTTTCACAGCTCTAGCGGTAGGGCTGTCCAAGCCACATGCCTGAGTCCCGGGCACAGTGGGAGGAGGTCCAGGACAAGCACAGGTCGCTTGGCCATGCTCTCCTTGGAGGCTCAGGCCCCAGGTTCCTCCCCGCCCTGGGCCTTCCCCGTGGGGATCATGGTGGCCCAGGGCAGCCCACAGTGGCTCCCGACAAGGCTGCCTCGGGATCTCTCTCTAGCCGTGGTCCAGCCTAGCTGTCGGCCCTCGACGCCAGTAGGGTCAGCTCGGTCGAGACCTTGTCTGCAGAGAGCAAGCCCAGGGCCCGGACAAGGGACGACGAGGCTGGGCCGTCGGAGCTGAGATACCAACGCAACAGATGCCACCAGCCAGAGGCCGACGGGCATCACAGAACCAGCAATGGTAGTGACGGGCCAGATGTGTCTCGGAGCCCATGTCCCCGCCTCGCGGGCCACCGCTCGAGACCGAAAGGTGCGCAAGGACGGATGGCTCCGGACAAGCTAGCGACCCGGTGGCCCGACAGGGACGGGAGCCTGGTCCGCCTGGCCGCCGGGTCCCCAGTCGGTATGGCTCCGCCTGGCACGGCCTCCAGATCACAGCGGCGTCTCTTCCTGCTCTAGCGCCAGCGGCGGCAGCTCGGCTGGGCCGGGCGGCTGCAGCGACGCCAATTTGCGCAGTTCTGGGCGGCGGCGCGCACGCGGCCGCTGAAACGAGCGCCGGCTGTGCACGCGCCGCGCCGCCGCCGATCGCGCATGCGCCCCTGGCCCCGGCATGCGGGAGGACTGGGCGGGGCTCGCGGGTGGTGACATCGCTGGGTGCGGGGGCTGCAGGACAGCGGGCGGGCCCCGGCGCGGGGACGAGGGTCTGGTCAGTGGCGTGTCGGAGCCGGTGTCACCTGTGGGGTACAGGGTGTGAGGCCGAGGCACCGCAGGGTCCAGGACGAGGGGATACCTGCAGTGCCCCGCGACGCGCTCCAGGCCAGCCCGAGACTGCGCCCACCCCTCTGCGCACGCCGCACCCGCTCCAAGGACAGAGGACACGGGGGAGGGGCACGCCGGATCCAGAGGAAGAGCAGGGACAGGCGGAAGGACAGCAGTGAGCACCCGACTGCACGGTCCCCAAGTCCTAGTGGCCCTGCCCAGGGAGTGCCTCAGTGAAGGGCCTACGGCCCACGGCCTCTGCCAGCGTCCACCAGGCAGAAAAACTCCCTCCGTTTGAAACGGGCTTGAATCCTGAGGCGGGCCAGACCCACCCATCTACAACGCTTTCACCTGCCTGGAGCACTCAAAAGGAAAACCTGGAATAACTAAGACCCTGCCGCTAGAGGGCTCTTCGGGCTTCTCACCTCCTCCAGGGTTGGGCTCTGCAGGAGCCCCAGAAAGGGTGCTGCTGCCAGCTTATGGGCAGAGACTTCCCGCACCTTTCCCGCACCCTGCCTCTACGAGGTAGAAAAGACCCACTGCCTCTGTCCTGGGCGTTCCCCTGCTCCTGGATCCTTCCAGGGCCCCTTCCTGCTCCTTGCTCCTGGGCGGAGTGAGTGAGATTCAGGCCGACCACAGACGCCCCTGTGATGCAGCTGACAGTCCGAAAGTGAATTCTCAGTAGGACAACCTGCAAACACAAGCCCTCATGGCCTCTGGATCCCTGTGTCCTAAGCAGAAGCAAAGACAGACTGGTTTGTCAGCATCCCCTAAGAAGTCTGCAGCCGATGGAAGCTGGGATCTAGAGGAGGAAGAACTACTGGAGAGAGCTGGAGAGTGTGGGTCCAGGAGAGCCCTGGAAGAAGCATCAGAGAGAACAGGCGTTAGGGGTGGGGCACCAGTTACATGTGTGTGGACTCAGGGAGGATGTGGGGCCGCTCCTCGCTGTCGGCCAGCAGGAAGGAGTCCACTGACTTGTTGCTGAGGCGGAAGGGTGCCAGGCGGCGGAAGTTGCTGGGAGACTGGGGGATCTGCACACGAGCCCTCTGGGAGGGCACCACAGTCTCCCCGGGGGACAGCCAGGGTGGCACCCTGGCGAGGATGCTGGGGTCCAGGTGCTCATCCAGGGAGAACACAGGGTTCTCAATTCCTAGGAAAGAGGTCAGTGCTCATTAGCCTCTCGGGAACCCCGGCAGGACAAGGAACACACTGTCCAGGCTGATGGCAACTCCTGTGACTACCACCAGAGGTCAGGACCTGCCCTGCCGGTCCAGTGCCTTTCAGCCTGCACCCCGTTCCTTCCCTGTCCTTGAGCGCAGAGTCCTGGCCTGCGGAGCCACCTGCCCTGGGGAAGGCTGACAGGGTGGAGGAAGCAGCACCCGGCCGGGGCTCTTTAGGCACTGAGGGAGCCCCCATTCCCCAGCCTCCCTCACCTGCTGGGGAGTCTGAGGCTGTGTCCTTTGTGACGTTGGCCAGAAACTCGATGCCCCCACTGGTCTCCTCAACTTCATAGTCTGGGGCCTCCTCGGCATCCAAAAGTTCAAACTCTTTGGGGTAGGGAACAAGAGGAGGGAACTGGGCTGGGGCTAGAGTGACCCAGGTCCTTGGTAGCTCGCGTGTGGCCCGAGGGTTGTCATTGTGGCGCTGTCCCAGCAGTGCCAGGGCAGCCCAGGGACCAGGGACTAGGGTGGGCTGGGCGGAGGCAGAATCACCCCTGCTGTTCCCCTGGCTCCACTGTGCGAGGGGCAAGGGAAAGAGATGGGGAGGGTGCCGCCTTGTGGCTAGGCCAGGGAGGATAGGAGGAAAGGGCTTGGCCCTGTGACCCACGCACCACACCCTACCTTTCTCCTTGATGGCGAAGTTGTGCGCCAGGCTCTCCATGGGCAGCTTCCCATTGGGGATGCTGCTGTTCCTCTGTGGACAAGTGCAGCCATTTACAGATACACCCACGTTCAGGCCCAGCCCACACCCGCCCCTCTGACCCTGCCTAACTCTGCTCCCCTCGCTCTGCCTACACAGCCCCTCACCCGCTTCTGTGCACGCTCCCTCTTGTACAGCTTGGCTGCCTTCTTGTTCTGGTTCATGCCCAGCTTAGCCGACTTAAAGGACTCCAGGCGCTTGCGCATGGTCCTGTGGAAGATCTCCTTGTCCTGCTTCTCAGCCTCGTTAGGTGTCAGCTTGTGCCGGCTGTAGATGTGCTTGTACTGGGAAGGGGTGACAGGGCAGGCTGGTGGTCAGGAGAAGCAGCCCAGACCCCTGTGTCTGGAGGACAGGAGGACCCCAGCAGAGGGGAGGGACTGTGCAACCTTGAGCCTACCTCCTGCCTCGGCTTGTACAGGTACTGCTGCAGCGTGTGGTGGGTGACCATGTCCTCTGTGTCACGGATGCTCCTTCGACGCTGCTCCAGGGACTGCATGTCCAGGCACACAGCACTCACGTTCTCCCTCCTGCACAGTCAGATGCTGAGCCAGGAGCTGAGCTGGGGGATTGCTGCTGTCCCTCACCCTAACTGGGCCTGGACCCCTGGACGCCTGGGCCCCTGGAGCCCTGCCTAGCTCCTCTGTATGGAGCTTTACTTGACTGGCCCCATTGGACCCTCCTCACCTCCTGTTTAAGGTGCCTCCCAGTCACCCTCCAAATTCCTGCCTAGGACCCCAGCAGCACCTCCCCACTGCTTTCCCCAGCCTCAGACCTGCATCAGCGACTGGCCAGAGCTGGCCATCAGCTGCCAGGCCAGCATATGGAAGTCTAGGACCTGCCTTGGTGGCCTGTCCTGGTCCAGGACTTCAGTCTGCTGGCCGTGACACATGGTCAGGCCGCAGGCCCCTGCATCTGCTGGCCCTACTCCACTGCCCCTGCGTGTGCCTCACAAGAACGAGACCTTGCTGCTTGTTCCAAAAGGTTCATCTGTATGGTGCCAGTGCCCGCCCTCTTTCTGGACCCTTTCTCCACCCTGTCCCACCCCCAGCGCCCGTTTAGGGCCTGCAGGAGGAGGTGGTCAGGGCACAAGGAAAAGGGGTATGGGCAAGGGGTGGCTTTGGGGACACGTACAGGAGGTAGGAGACTGAGGCCTCCACAGTGGATGGCCGTGGTGTGCTGAAGTCCACATTGACCATGTTGTCAGTGCTCGGGGAGCGGATGAAGGCCAGGGACCCACGGCGCTCTCCCTGCAAGAAGTGTCTGGTTGGCCACCAAGGAGGACTGGTAGGCGGCACCTCTGACTGGAAGGCCAGGCCTGGTCCCGGTGTTCAGGGACCCATGGGCTCCAGGAGACAGAGATGGAGCCCAGGGGAGGCGAGTTCACCCTGTCCAGTGTTCACCCCAGCCAGGGCAGACCACAGCACCCAGAGGACGAGCTCCCGGAGGCCCTTGGGGGTCGGGGGAAACGTGATCCACACCTGAGGATCCGGACAGTGGCCTCGGCCCCAGCAGCCCTCAGGCCCAGGAGGGACTTGGGTCAAAATGTAGCGTGGTGGTTGGGTCATCTCTCCCCAACCCCTCCCCAGGACTCAGGCAGAGGCTCAGGGCCCTTCCTGGTGTCCAGGCACCTGCATGGAGGTGAGGAGCACCCCAGAGACAGGAAGCAGCAAGAAGAGGCCACCAGAAGCCCCTTCCTGTCCCCGTCCAGGCGGCTGGGTTTGCCTCTGTGTGAATTCTGCCCCAGAGGAGGCCTGAGGCTGAGGATGCTCTGCACCTGGGCAGCCTGGACCTAAGCCTGAGCTTGGTTTCAGAGCTGCAGGGCCCAGGGGACATGGACATGTCTCAGTGGTGTGTGTGTGGGGGTGGCTTTTCATCCTCTGTGATGAGGGATGGGGGTGGGCTGGGAGCTTTGGTGACCTGCGTGCAATGCCTGTGTCCCATCCCACACGTCTTGAGCCCAGAGGACAAGCTGGGATGGGCAGGTGCAGTGCTTGTGGCATTAGACCCTGGGTGCTGCCACAGGGCCAGGGCCCTGATTCCAGCAGAGGGGCAGATGGAACATTCCTGTACCTCAGCCACATAGCTAATTGCATCCTTCAGGTTCAGCTCGTGGAAAACATTCAGAATCCGATCTCGAGACTTTTGGGCTGACCTTCTCATGAGGACCTTGCTGAGGACCTTCCTGTCAAAGTTGGACCACCTGGGGACAGACGGTCACACGGTCAGCTCTCATGGCCTGGCGCTCCTGCCCCACACAGACAGAGCCCTGGACATAGGATTGAGTGGACAGAGGCCTCTGGAGCTGCACCCAGTACAAGACTGTCCTGCTGTCCTGGGTTTCCTGTCCTGAGACCCCCGCGGTGACTTTGGCCACACCTCCTGCGCCATCCCCCGACTCTGGTTCCCTTTGACCGCGGTATCAGGAGAATGCAAAGAAAACCATCATCTCATGCGCCTTTGTGAGGTTTCCAAAGACCACATAAGTCTCAGAGGGTGGCATGAGGACAGGGCTGGGGTTCCCGCTCTGAGACAGCATGCCCGGGCTTCACATGAACTTTGTCGCCTCTGGTGGAATATGGACAATTATCTCACACACCAGGGCCTCTATGTGTGACTCTAATTCCTTATTGGAGTCACATAATTTTAAGTGTCAAGTGTATTTTATAATAAAATAGAAATAGATTATTTCATGGGCAAAATAATTTTTAATGCTGATGGATGCTAACACACCCTTGTATTTGGGGGAGGAAGTATTTATTTTCCTGATTTTTAATTCCCACATAATTTAGCAATTGGGAATTAAGTAGCCACAGTGTAAGGGCATCACTTTCCCCCAGAACAAGATCTGTGTCTTTGATGTGTCCACAGCACCAGCCCCTCTGCAGGTGTCAGCATCTTCACCTGTGTGCACCTGCAGGTCTGGGGCACACCAGCCCTGTCCAGGTGTCCCCCGAGTGGCAGTACCGGTCCAGGACCCTGGCAGCTCACCTGGTGGCCCTGGTCCGGTTGAATGAGGGTCCTCCAGAAGTTAGTCATGAGATCCTTGGGTCACAGTAATGGGATCTATATGGCCCTGTCTAGGCGCTGTGTCCCTTATTAGCTCTGTGATTCAGGGTCGCCAATTGAAAGAGCAGGAAACCAACAGCTGAGACCAATGTGCATCACAAGCCGTACCCATTTTGGCCTAGGTTTTGTCCAGACGACTCAGGCCACTTACTTATCTCTGAGGTAATTGTGTCCGATCTGTCCTGAGATGTCCTCTATGGCTGAGAGGATGTGGTCGAAAGCCTGTTGGAGAAAAGGAATGTCCAGAGGGTCACAGGACAGCTTCGCCTCCCAGAGCGCAGGGGACACATAGGGGGCATGCAGGTGGCAGGCGGTGCCCTCCCTCCCTCCACTGCATCCCCACTCTACCCGGCCATGCAGCTTCTCGTTGAGTTTGGGCTCCTTCTGCTCGCTCCTCTTCACCTTCAGCCACTGTACCAGGGGCTTGATGGTCAGGCCCTGGGAGACAGACGGACAGCCTCGCTGGCCCACGGCTAGGGAGAGCCCCACCCAGCCCCCAGGCCACCAGCAAGGGCACAGTGGGCCCTGTCCAGGCCCATGGAACAGTGCGACAGTGGGAAATGTTAACGGGGCCTCTGCGCATCCACTGCCCGGAACAATTCTCAGGACAACTGGGCCACGTCCCCTGTGGGGCCACATGAAAACCTACAAAACCTTCCTAGTTACTAAAATTATAAAATCCAGTTCAGATCTGGAGCCTGGAAACTGGTCCCACAGGGCTGGGGGCAGGGAGGGGCCACTGCAGAGCCCGGCAGCCAGGCTGCACCTGGAAGATGACCGTGAAGAAGACCACGATCAGCGTGGTGCTGACAAACAGGTTCTTCTCCTTGACTTTCTTCTTGTCTAGAAGCACAACCAGGGCATAGGCCACAGCCCCTCTCAGGCCACCGTAGCACATCACCACCTGGTCGATGGGCTCCAGCTGCACCATGCGGTACCGGTTCAGGATCCAGGTCTGCAGGATGACACCTGCAGTGGGGAAGGAGGCTCAGCTCTGCAGCCCCTACCCCTGTGCCTGTGGCCACATGCCCTGAATGGCCCCGTCCCCCAGGTGACACCCTCATCTCGAGGATGGTGGGCATCTTCGAAGAAGCCTGGGCACTCATCAGGGTTCCTGGCCAGGCTGGTCTTTGGGGTACTGCCCTGGGCCCCAAACCCATGATCCCTGAATTGTCCCAGTCTTCACCGATGGTCCGGTACACTGAGATGAACAGCAGCGTGAGCAGCACAAAGGCCGTGTTCCAGGTCCAGATGAGGGGGTCCACAGCGGAGATGCCCAGGAACATGAAGATGATGGTCTCTGCCCCGCTGGCTAGCATCTTCATGGTGTAGCGCACCGTGGTGGCCGACTGCTCTGAGATGTTGGCCTTCACATACTTCTGGCAGCAGATGCCACAAAAGGTGATTCTGGGGGTGAGAGGCCATGAGGCTGCCGTTCAGTGGGCAGCACTCGGGACTGGACCCTTCTGAAGGTCCCGCCCTGCCATCTCTCAGCCTGGCGAGGCCACAGGGCTCCGCATCCTGGACCGACATCCTCTCGCTGGTCAGGCCTGCACTGTGTGGACTGGGCTTTCCCTGGGCTGATGTCCTGAGCTAGGCACTCTCTGCTGCCCTCTGCCCCCTGCCTGGGGCTGAGCACCCAGAATCACAGCTACTGTTTGTCAGGCGCTAGCCTCTGCATCTGTTCATGCCCCAACAGGCCATTGGCATCTTCCGGGCCATGTCAGCCTTAAGGGAGCCCTATCTGAGCAAAGGGCTGCATGCCTGAGTGGATGGGTGGGGGCCACAGATCACATGTGAACCCTCTGGCCCCGACCACCCCACCCCCGCAGGCTCTGCAGCTGCAGACAATTCTGCAGAAACACTCAGTCCTTATTTAAAATTAAATAAATAAAATTCCTCAACCCACACAATAAATGTCCACATAGCTCAGGGACTAGGAAGCTGGAATGTGTGCCCTAAAGGTCGCACTCGAGAAGGGCAGTGTCGGTCCACCCCATGTCCCCTGCCATGCAGCTGGGTATGAATAGCTGGGCATGAACTGTGCCCATACTCGCTTTCTAGGGGGTGCCCCAGAGTCTCTGGCCTCTGCCCAGCTGCCTGCAGGGCTGCTGCTCAAGCTCTGGGCTCCATGCACACCCGGGGACTTACGCTAGGATGGCCGACAGGGACAGCATCTCGGACGTGAGGTAGGACAGGTAGGAGATGACGAAGACGAAGCCGGGCTCGATGATGCGCACGTGCTTGGTGAAGCGTGTCACCAGGGACAGCAGGAAGGCGAAGACCACGCCCACCAGCGTGCCCCCCAGGCTCACTACGAAGAAGGACACTGGGGGGACAGCATGCATCTGAGGTGCCTGAATGGCCTGTTGTGCAGGGCGTGGGCAGCCCTTCTGGGCCTCTCCTCACGGGAGTTGCCTGACAACCACCTTCGGAGGCTCAAGCGCTCAGGAACCGGCCAGTCCCTGCTCTCTGGGGAGAGGGTCCCATCTTGGGCCCAGCCCCGGGGCAGAAAGAGATGCTGGCACTTTGGACCCTGGGAGCCCCGGACTCTATTTAGGAAACATCACTCAGACGAAGCCCTGTGGCCTGGGTTGGCAAGAACCAGGCCCTGTGTTGGCCAACACTGTCCATCTGTCCCTTCCTGGAGCCCCAGGATGACTGTCGTCCCAGGAAGCCACCAGGACCCCTCAGGACCCACGCTGTGTTTGAGGTGTCTGGGAAGGGGGCATGCACAGTGCTCCATTCTGCAACTGTGATGGTTTGATCCAAATAGTTCCCCATGTCCTCTATGTTTGCAGGTGAGGCATTTGGAAGGTAACTGGATCACAGGACGCTAACCTCATCTGCTGATTAACCCATCGATGGATTCATAGCTGGAAGGCTGTTAGGAGGGGCCTGGGGGGAAGGGGTGGGCATGGGGTGACTTGTCCCAAGCTCCCCTCCCCTCCCCTGCCCTGCCCTGCCCTGCCCTGCCCTCCCTGTCTGCTTCTTGGCTGCCATGACAGGAGCAGCTCTCCTCTGCCGAGTCCTTCCACTATTCTGTTTAACCTTGGAACCAGCCCACCATGGACTGAAATCAAGAGCCCAGTAAACCTCCTCCTCGCAGTTACTCTGTTGCTTGATAACAGAAAGCTGGCCAACACAGCGGCATGGTGGGAACTCCTTTTCCTGCTGGGGCTGTGGGCCGCAGAGCGGCAGAGGACAGGCCTGCGGGTGGGCAGGCAGGGCCGGCCAGCTACATACCAATGCCCTTCACGCAGTCCACACCTGTCACCTTGTCACCACCTAGTGTCACGAAAGACTCAAACACACTGTACAGGACCTGAGGGACAGAAGACATAACACATCTGGTCAGCCTGAACTCAGGGGTGGCCCTTCCTCGTCCCAGTGCCTGGCCTCACAGACTTGGACCTTGTGTGGAGCCGCGGCAGTGCAGACCTGAGAAGCAAGGCTATCAGTGGGCAGAAGGTAGAAGGTGGGCAGCAAGAAGGGTAAATGGGTGAGAGAAGGCACTAGAAATGGCCAACTGGGCAACAGGAGCTGCTGGCCGAATTCCTGGGGTCTCAGTGGGTCCCCAGCTGCCCCGAGAGCCGTGAAGGCATCCAGGGTCCCGCACTGTCCTGTCCTGACGTGGGGGGTACAGGAAGCAGGTGTTCAGGAGCCATCACTCGTCCCCAGGGCCTGTGTCCACTATCTACAAAGTCCCCCCACCCCCATCCACTCTCTCCTCCCATGAGGACAAGCTAGGGACAGGAGTGAGACTTCACTGCTGTGAAGAGCAGCAGCTGCTCCTCAGGTTTAGGCTCCTGCGGCTCATGGCACAGAACGCGCACTGCCTGAGGAGCTGCCTCTGGGGAAACAGCCCACAGAAACGACAGCTTTGGCTTCCTTGACTCCTTTGAGGGGCTGAATATGCCCCCTAAGTTCACTTCTTGGATCCTGACCCCAGGATCTAAAGTGCACCTGTGTGTGACAGTGAGGCCTCTGCAGAGATGACCGGAGTGAAGGAGGGTCACTGGGTGGGCTTAGCCCAACCCGATGGGGTGGTCCTGAGGAGAGGCGGTCAGGCCACAGACACACCTGAGGGAACGCCCCTGTGAGGACGTGGGGAAGGGACAGTGTCCACATGCCCAGGAGAGACACGGACGAGCCAGCCCCTGTGCCCTGACCTCAGACTGCAGCCTCGAGGACAGCGAGAAGTGAGCCTCTGGTTTAACCTCTGGCAGCCCAAGCGGACAATACAATCCCTCTGACATTTTGTTGCTTCTTCATCTACTTTCCTGAAGTCAGGAAGGGGCAAAACCAAGTGTGAGCTGCCACCGACACCCCTCGCTGTGGGGACTGTGACTGCGGGCTAGCAGCCATGTAGCCTGACCCGAAGGCTTGGGTGGACGGGTCCACGATGGTGAGAAGGGAAGGAAAGGCAAGGACTGATGCATCAGACTCTGCGTCGGGTGGGAGCACAGGCCGGGCTGCCCGTCCGCCTACGTGCCGGTGCCGCCAGTGAGGGGGCGTGCTGGGCTGCTGCACGGATGAGCAAGGCTGCCTGAGCACGGCAGATCGTTTGGTCTTGCTTACTGATCCCAGGGACGAGAGTGACACTCACTGCCCCCAGGTCCCAGGCCCCCTCACAGCCGTGACTGAAACACTGCCTCGGGGTCGGGGCCTCCCTGCTGCTCACCACGGTCACGGCATCGTTCAGCAGCGACTCCCCAAAGACAATGATGAATAGGACCTCATTGACATGGACCTCCTCGAACACCGCCAGCACGGCCACTGGGTCCACCGCGGCAATGAGGCTGCCGAACAGCAGGAAGTCCAGGAGCCCGGACTGCAGGTCGCCTGCAAGTCAAGCCTGCCGTGGGCGAGAGCCCAGCATGGGCCCTGCCCAGGATGAGAGCCAGCCAGCCAGGGTATGGGGTCCCCCGCCTCTGTCCCAGACCTCACAGCCCCGGCGGAAAGTGGGAGACACCTGTGCTGTCAGGCTGTGGGCTAGTGATGAGGCTGGGGACCCTCAGGGACAGCCAGAGAGAGCCCAAGGCTGGACATCTCCAGGATGCCAAGGCAGCTGGGCTCTCCCTCCTGGGCTGGGTCAGAACTGCCCTCCCCTGGGGCTAAGGAGCAAGGCTGGCGGGGAGGTTAGTGCCCTGGCCAAGGGCACGGAGGGCAGGGGACCTTGAGATTCCTATGAACCCCAAAGCCCAGGAGCCACCAGCCAGTGTCACAGTGTGCTACCATTGCCTGCTGCCGCACAGCCCTGCTGGCCTTCCAGAAACAAACGCATTCAAGGCCAGGTGTGAGATGCCCACGGGTCGGGCAGCCTGTTGCTCCAGGACCCTGCTGGACCCTGCAGCATATGCTAGAAATCAGCTGGTTCCCACTGGAATGCAGTCAGCCCTTGTGTGGACAAATGGTCCATCCACTTGGCCCTGCCAGGAGTGCTTGGCCCAGTGGGAAGCAGGCCAGGCTCTGTGCTCCCCTCCCTACCCCAGGCGAGGAGACCAGCAGCCTGGCCCACTGCTGGGACCTCTGCACGGCTCAGGTTGACCCTTCCCAGGTAGGTGTGGTGGATGCAGCAGGTATGGCGGGTACACCAGGCCTTGACCACTGTCTGCAGAGACCGGTCACTGCCTGCCCCTCTCTACCACCTCCCAGAGGAGACGGCTGGTGTCCAGCCTTGGCCAGCCGTGTCCCAAGGGCTGACCAGGCCACCCGCATCTGTGTCTACCGTGGGAAGCGGCCCTGCCTCTCCTGTGAGACCTGCATGACAGTGACACTTGTCCTGCAGGACACTGTGGCAGGACAGGCCGTGGAGCTTACAGAACGGACATGTTCGCCATTGCTAGGGTGCTTGCAACTTAGCACCTGTGCCTTTTATCATGAGGACATTGGCTTCATAAAAGCCAGGCACCGGGTCTGCCAGGCAGGATGTGGAGCCTCACAGACACAGGCGTGCTGGCCGGCCCCCTCGGCTTCTCTGCTCTCAACTCAACCTGGGACTCCACAGCCTGCACCTGGCAGTTTTGTCTGTGGGGTGAGGCCAAATGTCACCCCCTCAGGGCTGTGGACATCGGTCCGGGAGTCCTTGAGCCAGCCCCGAGGCAGCCGTCATTGTGGGTGTCCTGTGATCAGGAACCCACACGCCCGCCAGGCTCACTGCCTAGTGGTCTCTGGGCGGTCTGGACAGCAGGGGCACTTGAGGGACTGCCCTGTAAGGGGACATGGCCCAGAAGGACAGATGTGCCCAGAGTGACAATGCCCGGTCCACAGTCTCCTCCGTCTGGAGGCCATTTCCCACACTGACCAAACCTCAGGACGCGGCAGGGAGCCTGGGGCAGACCGGGCCCCACCCTCCTTGGCGCTCCCACCTGTGCAGCACGCTGGCCTCCCTGTGGGGACTTACCCATCAGGCCACTGCAGAAGACCCCGTAAAGCGACAGGCCCGTGGTGGCTGCGTTCCACACGGTGCCAATGACCGCATACAGGAGGATGGTGCCCAGGTTGCCGAAGAAGAGCCGGTTGGGCATGAAGTAGCCGGCGTCCAGCACGATGGGGGGCAGCAGGTAGTAGAAGAAGACCGTGGGCGTCAGCGTGAAGGAGGCAATGTGGTCGGCTGCCCAGACGATGCCCCCTAGCACCAGGCCCAGCATGATGAGCAGCGCACTCTCAGGCACGATGCGGGTGACCTTGTGGGACAGGTGGAACACTGCGGGTGGGGGAGGGGGGTCAGGGCTGTGCAGGGAGGGGCGGGCCGGGGCGACCCAGGGCTGCGCCCATGGGAGCAGGCCCAGATCTTCATTCCAGGGCCCTGAGGCACCAGCGAAGCCTGGCCCTGCCCCCCACTCAGGCAGCCGGAAGGGCGTGGAGGTGATGACACCCACCTGAAGCTGGCGCATACGCTGGGGTGGGGACACTTGAGGGTGACTCCCCCAGCTTACCAATGTGTGGCACAGTGTCTCTCAGTGGCGAGCACTGAAGTCTCACTACTGACGCGGCTTTTTTGAGTCTCAGAAGAAGGTTGTTCTGAGACACTGAGACCCCAGCGGGGCCCAGAGCAGCAGGAGGAGCAGAGCGACCCCATCTGTGGGAGGGGCTAGGTGGGGGTCGGTGGGTTCACGGGGTGGGTTCACGGGGTGGGTCCCAGAATTCTGGACAGCTGAGTTAGGTGGAAATATTCTAGGCAGTCAGACAGGGCTAGGTCCTTGAGGGAGTCAGTGAAGGAGGAGAGAACACATCACAACTGTGGCTGGAGGTGCATCTGTTGGAGACCAGGCCTCAAGATACAGATTGGATGACCAGGGCCAGGGATTCAGCTCGGTGGTTCCGGTGCCTGCTTGCAAGCACAAGGTCCTGAGTTCGATCCCGGTACCAAAAAGAAGATTGGCTGACCAGGCCTACGTGCCTCCCCGAGGAATAAGCAATAAATTAAAGATTATACTGCAATTGGTATCACCTGATCCAAGTCTACCTAGACATCAGTCACCCAGCGGGGTGATCAGGACCTCCTGATCCATCTCTTCCTAAAAGGTCCTTGTTCTTGCCATATGCACTTGCTATGTGATCTGCTTCCCCATTGGTTCAGAATCACCTAAGCAGCTATACTTGCAATCTTATCGGTTAATCATGATACCCACCTCGTGATTTTGCTCTATACAACTTCTTCTGAGAAGTGGGGTCTGCAGCAACCCACTTTCAGGCCCTCTCCTGTCTCTCAGAAGCTATCTCTTTCAATAAATTTTTCTACTCTTGACCTCAGTTGTTTCTTAAAATTCATTCTTAGGGCTGGGGATTTAGCTCAGTGGTGCCGACGCCTGCCTCACAAGCACAAGGTCCTGAGTTGGATCCCCGGTACCAAAAAACCCCCAAAACAAAAAAATTCATTCTTCGATTTGGGGGAACGTGAACTCGTATCTGACATCTAGCAGGTTGGGAGTGACATTTTTTCCCCTTAAATCACCAGGACCCACCCGTCCTCCCCAGACAGCCTGGACTGGGCTTCCAGACCGGTTCTCCATGTGTCATCAGGAGGTGACTGCCAGGCCTGGATGGATGCCCGGGAAGGGCCCTGACGCTTGGGGAGGTCCCCTGGCAGCTGCTGCCTGTACACAACCCCACATCAAATGCCAGGGCCACCTTCCCGAGCCTGGTGAGCAGGGTGCCACTGGGGAATCTGTGTCTGCACTGCCACAGCCTTTGGCCCTGTCACCTGGGTGAGGCTCAGCCTGGCGTGCTCTGACCTGTGGCCCCCACTCCAGACTTGGGAACTCTGGCAGCAGAGGCAGGGCCCACAGCTTCCGGCAGTGCCCTGTGCTGGCTGCCCTTTCTGTAGCGACGGAGGCTGTTTCCCCACCCAGTTCAAACACTGGGGCCCAGTGCCATGTGGGTGACAAATGGCAAAGCGAGAGGAATGTGTCTCAGACGGTGCCTGCTTGGGATGAGGGAGGCTGCAGTGAACCCGGAGGGCTGGTTTCCTGGAATCCTGAGGGTCCTCCCCGCAGCTGGCAGGAGAGACGCCACCTTCTGGGAGAGGAAGCCCCATCCTGGGCCCCAAGTGCCGCTCCCTGGACAGGCAGCTGAGAGCTCACACACTCAGGTGGCACCCTGCCCAGGAGTCTGCATTCAGGACCCTAAGACCTGGAGTCATGCTGTGGACCCTGAACCCAGGGCAGCGTGGCTGGGGGAGGCCAGAGAACATACTCCCTGCTCCAAGCCTCCTGATTCCTTATCAAGTCCAGAGATGGCCCAGTGGTGCTGTGCTCTGTTCTTCCCACACCGTGACCCTGGGCTCCATGTCTGCAGCTGTGCTCAGAACAGCTGAGGCCCTGCCCCAAGCCATCACCCTTCCGAAGCTCCTGCATGCCCCAAGGTGGGGCAGCTTCTTTCTCCTGGACAGAGGATGCACGAGCTTGAGTGTCCCTGATTCCCAGAGCCCCAGAGCCAGGCCATGTCCCTGATGTCCTCCGTGGTCCCATGTCAGCCCTTTCTTCACACCTGGGCTGGTAGGGGTCACTTACACTTGCGACAGCTGGGTCCCTGCCCTGACCCTCCTTCAGGGTCCCATGGTTAGGCGAGCCTGCTCTTGATGCCATGGGTTAGACAGCGGAAGGACCAGACGCCTCTGAGCTCCAGCCCAGACCCCTCTGGGAGACAGCCGTGCAGGTGTCTGTGCAGGACTCGGGTCTTTGCTGCAACCCCTTCCAACCCCTGCCAGGAAGTTCAGGGGGGGGGTGGAGCTGGGCTCATCTCAAAGCAGCAGCACAACACTGCCTTTCGGGAGCTCCAGGGACATGGGATGCTACTGATTGGTCCTTGTCGTTTTCTGTGTGGCAGCTGATGCCTGTAGGTTGTCATCCATCGGGAGCACAGGTGGATGGAGGGTAGGCTGGCTCCCCACCAAATGTGTTTGCTCAGAAGTAGCCCCTGAAAACCCACAAAAAAATAATCGGTTCTTTTGATTCCCAAGAAGGGCAGGTGTCCAAATGCAGTGTAGACAGGAGTGTGGAGTACTTCAGCCCCTTGCCATCCCATCTGCCTACCAGCATCTCCAGGGATGGAGCTGGCCTCCTGCACCGAGTGAGGCCTGGCCGCCGTCTGTGCCTGGGAGGCCTGCCTCTCTGGCTCTTCGGAGCTGTTTATGTGTAGACCTGGCAGCTCCTCCGTCTTCCTCTGGCTCTTCCTGGGCTGAGACCTCTACCTTACCTGATGACTGTTCCCGCTGCCACATGTCTGGGGGTGGCAGGACAGTGGGGGCCTGTGTGTGTCCATCCTCTTTGCTAGTCCTCTGACCAGAGTCAGGCTCTCTTGGGTGCACCAAGTCCCGCCCCCTCTGACCTTGGCATCTCTGCTCTGGAGCCATAAACCTCAACTCTGTCCTTGACCACAGGCCCTGTCCCATCTGTGAAAATGGGCTTGACGCCACTTCCGGATCAGGCTGGTCCCGTGTGGCCTGGACCCAGGGACTGTGGGGAGGGGTCTGCCAGCTGGGTTCTGCCTCTTCCACAGTGGTGCTGCTCGTTTCTCTGTTTCCTTCTGAGCATCAGACACAGCTTCTCACCCCAGGATGGGCCAGTACTGAGCATGGGGCTCCCCGTGGTCCTGCCCCTCTCAGCCGAGGCTTTGCTCTTCCTCCCCTCCCCGGGGCATCCCGGGGCTCTGGACACAGCTGCCCCTGTGTGCGCCTCTCCTCTGGAGCCTCGTCATCTCCGCCTTTCCTCCCAAGCCTCTGCCACCATGGTGCGAACTCTCCCCCCCGGCTCTGAGTCAGGGCAGGTCTCGGTGCTAGCACCCTTGGGGCACCCCCAGCCTGGGCAGTCTAGTCCCATGACTGCCTCCAGCGCACAACTTACATGGTAATTAGATACTTAAAGAGGTGACTCCGCGATGTTAAGTGGCCATCTGCTAATGGCTCAGCAATTGGGAGCCTGGTGGCATTTCAGGAGTCAGAGCCCGCTCCTGCCGGGTGGCCTGCAGCTGAGAACCTGTAGCCGGGCGCAGAGCCTCGTGGGTGGGGCAGCCACAGGCACAGGGCTGCTTTTGACTTGCTGCCATCCAGCGTTTGGGGGTCATGGGTCGGGGGCTGCTGGTTGCTGGGCACATCAGGCCTCTACCTGTCCTGTGCCCTCTGTCCAGGACACAGATGGATGGCATCCTCTCCACACAGAACTGGTCACTGCTATTTCTAGTCATGCGGGCCTTCAGGGTGCCTGTGACTGTCCCGATCTGCACACAGAGCCCTCTCACCTTGCTAGGCCCTGCCTTGGGGCCATGAATGGCCAGCACAGTGCAAGCACCCACGAGGACCTGCTGCCTCAGCCCGCAGCCTGCAGGCTCCAGCTACCAGTCTGTCTACGCTCCAGGTCTCAGTCCACTGAGGTCTCTGGGGAAAGTCAACCCTGTGGGCTGGGGTAGATATTGGGGCTGGGCCTGGAGGGTCCCCCAAGGTCATGGGTGAAGGCAAGGCCCTGGAGGAGTGCTGAGGGGGTACAGGAGGCAGAGCCTCGAGGGGACCCTCTCTATTCTTTTGTTTTTACCCATGGCCATGAGAGAACCTGTTTGCTCCACCACACTTGCACCATGCTGTGCCAGCACACCCCAGAGTGGCAGAGCCAGCAGTCAAGGGCAGGAACCGCCAGACCAAGTGAGCCAGGTTAACCTTCCACCTGCTGAGCGATTGTCTCAGGTGCTCTGCAGGGACTGAGGCAGCCACTATGACCTGGAAGAAACCAGCGATAGTGGCCCCAGCAGGGACGGCCTTTCAGGGGACCGAAGGAAGCATGGAGGGACAGGGATGACAAGGCCAGGAGCAATGAGACAGCACGACGGGAGGACAGACATCCAAGCCCAGGAGTGAGTTGGTCTCAGGGCTGAGAGTCACCGCAGTTCAGCACAGGATGGTGCAGTTGCAGATGGTGACAAGAGGACAGGGTGGTTTAGCTCTAATTACAAACCCTCTGGCTGAAGGTGTCTGGCCAGGCAGGGAGCTCACCGAGTTTCACTGCGCCCAGTCTGCTCACCCACTACCAAGGATCTCTCAAGGTGACAACCAGTTTAGCTGAGTCCACGTAAACGCAGGGCACAGTAAATCCCCTGGTTTTACTTTAACATGGAGAAGCCTCTGAGAATCAGACTCTGCCTAATGAGCCAAATGGATGGGAGGGGGGCAGGGCAGAGAGCAGGTCCAGCGGACGCAGGCTGGTCACACCTGTG